TTTTGCAAGTAAATTATATGTACTTATTCTTGCTGTTTTACAAAGTTTAAATACTCAAGACCAATTGCTTGTTGATTTATTTTGCTATACTTTCTTGTTACCTGTGTTCTTAAGAATATTTGTGCTGATTGTCTCTATATGGTATAAATACTATGTAACCGTGTGCTAGTGGGAATTTCTTCTCAGTTTTGTATTCAGAGATGTCATGGTAGTAGTTTCAAAAATCTCAATTTATGCCATGGGTGTTGGCAAATGCTACAAATTTGGGTTCTGTTTTATTTATTTTTTTCCCAGAGCTAATTGTTAAACATTTACCAGATTTGCATGGACTTATGTATCATGCAAAGGAGTTGGAGATTTTTCATCGAGTAAGAAAACCATGAGATATGATTTGGGTAAAAGGAGACAGACAGAATGACTCACAGTTTAACTTTTGTATAACAAAAGTAGTGTCATCATTGCAAAAGGACTCATATGTAGGATGATACATAAAGGGGAAAAGATAATAAGGTTGGGATTTACTGTATTTGAGAGGCTCATTAGACAGTTGGTTTTATGAGTCTGGAGCTCAAGAGAGCTGTAGGTTATAGGAATATACTTGAATCATCTGCATGTAGGTAGTAGTTAAAACCATAAACATTGGTGATATTGCTTAAGATGAGTAAGTAGCATGAGAAGACTGGCAAGACCAGAACTGAAGGGAATATTAAAAGCTGTACAAAGAGAAGTTCACAAAGGAGTTGATGTGGAATGTCGGAGATGTCTGAGGATAAGCAATGTCAAACAAATCTCAACTCAAAGGTCCTTTGAGAGAAAAAAGTTGGCATATAGGCTGAGAATTTTACTCTACCACTGAGCTACAGTCCCAGCCTTTAACAACAGTAAGTTGTATCAAAAAGGCATGGACAAACCAGGAGTTGTGGCACACACTTGTAATCCCAGCTCCCTTAGGAGTCTTGAGACAGGAGAATCAAAAATCAGCCAGGCAACTCAACAAGACCATGTCTCAAAATAAAATTTAAAAAGGGCTGGGGTGTGGCTCACTAGTAGAGCACTTGCCTGGCCCACAGAAAGCTGTGGGTTCAATACACACACACACACACACACACACACACACACACACACACGACCAAGCACTGAACTCCCTGGAAAAAGGAAGAAGGGAATGAGTCAGGAAGGTCTTCACAGAGAAACTAACTGGCATCTAATCCTCTGTTGTTCAAGTCAGTCAAGAATGAAGACCAAACTGAGCTGCTGCTTTTTTGGGGGGAGACAGGCGGGGGTTGACGTTGCTGGGGATTGAACCTAGGGTCTCAACACACTAGTCAAGAGCTCTGAGCAACATCCACAGCCCAAGCCTTTTCTTTTCAGTTTCTTTTATTAGCAGAAGCAAGTTAAGCTGTCAGTTAAAACCTGAACAACCAAGAAAAGGAAGATAAAACAAGAAAGGATATTTTCCGACAAATACACATTTGGTTTAAAAAACTGCCTGCATTTTATTCTACTTATATTCTGTAAACATACTATCACATTTTTCATAAACAAAGTTATGTATTCTGCTTGATTGCTTCCAAACCAAAAAGTTTGATGCACAGTTAATCTTAACAAAGGTGTACATCAGCCCTCTGCAGCCACAGTTCACATATTTGAGGATCCACCAAATGCACACTTAAAATTAGCTGAAAAAAATTTATGTAGTACTGAATATGTGCAGACCTTTGTCACTATTTCTTAAAAAATATAGAATAACAGCTATTTATATTGCATTTACATTACACTAGGTATTAGAAATAATCTAGAAATAACTTATGCTGGATGGCATAAGTTATATGCAGATGCTGCATTATTTTACATAAGGAACGTGAGCATCCTTGGATTTTGATATCCTTAGAAGGTATTGACACAATCCCTGTTGCAGAGAAGGGAGATTTAAATTTTATCTGCCTTCTTTCCTCCTCTAGAAAATAAGGGTTCTTTAGATTTTTTTTTTTTAGCTGTTACAAATTCAATGAATAGTAGATATGGACAATTTGGAAACTGTCCTGGAATTTATGAGGTGAGGTACTTCTCTTAACCATCTTCATGCTTTTAAAACTCAAGTCTTGTCCAGAACTCTTCTCTTCCTCTCATCCACACAGAACTCTCTATTGGCCGCTTGGAGAATGATATACCATTTGTGTCTGGAAATGTTTCCAAGATAAAAAGATATAGCAAAAACAAAATATATTATTTGGCCTTAACCTTCCTTTTCACGGATATTTGTCTTATTCCTTTCCATTGCACATGCCGAAATACTTCAGAGGAATCACATCACTTTTAAAATAATACAGAAATTCCAGAGGATAAGGCACACWGGGGTTGCTGGCTGTTCATGCAATTCATGTCACTGAATACATAGGATGGGGCAGTCGGAGTAGTTTTGGAGGAAAAATAGAAAATGTGGGAGGCCAACCTCTCATGTGACTGAGTTAACTCCCCTGTTGGGCAATGTGGCATCAGCACCCATGCTGCTAGACTGTCCCACTCTTCTAGGGTTCAAGTGACTTCTGTCTTCCTGCATGGGCATGTCTTCCTACAGCCCCATGGGTGGAGCTATGTTCACCTGTTCCTTTGTAAAATAACCCCTCGCCCTGTTTAGGATAGAATGTTCCATGGAAGTGCCTTGTGTGTCCCCTTCTCTTACTGTGCCCTTGGGTGTGGCTTACCTAGATGTCAGTCAACCTGCTGACAGTGGACATCATGAAGATAGACTCAGCCCCCTGAAACCTGACCCCTAGCCTCATTTGAATAGCTTTTCCTCAATAATAGGGGTCAGCACATGCTCTCTCTTTCTGCAGACCCTTAAGGTCAGAGGAGCCGTCACAGCGACCCCAAAGAAAAAGGTATTTGTGTCTCTTGTGTGCTTAATTTGCACAGCCCAAAAGTTAGCCCAGTTTACCTGGTGTGACCCCTGAGCGTTTTAGTAGAGAACAAAAACCTGGCAAGAAAAACCACAACAGTAATTAACAATGTACTGGAATACACTAAATTTCACCTCATTTAGAATTTGTGATGTCAACCTCTGCAAAGCTGAATTTTATAATAGCTTTCTTTGGATTATGAATTTCCCTTTTTTTAACCACTGAATATTTGAATGAACACCATAAAAGTAACATTTTAACTGGGATCGTTGTATTAAGAAAGTCAAATTCAGTTCACCTTTAGTAGCCCTACCCTTTTCTTCCTTCCACCACGGATTATTTGTGCCCATCATTCTTACTGGACTGTACTCTGTACATAATACAAATAAAATAAAAAGGTAGTGCTTCCCATGTGTTTGGCCTTATATCCTATTATCTAGGTTTATGTCACTTTACAGGTGAGGAAACAGGGTTCAGTGATACTAATTGCTCAGGCATAGAGCTAGTAAATGGAAAGCCATGATTCAAATCCATGCATGAGTTCCTGCCCTTAAGCACTGATTACTGCCTCTGCATAATTATGTACCTCTATTTATACTTACTCCATTTTGCAATCATGTTTAACCTCAGAGAAGTCTCATGGGAAGAGACCCTTTCTTATTTTTCCCAGTAATCTTCATGCCTAGCAATGTCCAACTGACTCAAGAACAGCCAATGTCACTTCTGTCAATCCACAGCACCAGGCACTATGGCACACAAATCTTTTTTATTATGATTTACAGTATACAACACAACAAATGGATCAGAGCTTAAGTGCATCTTTCTGTGTCAGGCATCCTCAATACCACCCCCAGGTTCAAAAATTTGCTAGGACTCACAGGATTCAGTATGTAGTTCTAGTCACAGCTATGATTTACTACAATGAAAAGGACACATAGCTAAATTATCAAAGGAAAAAGACACATGTGATGAATGAAATCTGGGAAAACTAGGTGCATGCTTTCAAGAATCCTCGCAGTGGAGTCACAAAGGTTGAATTTAGTTTGCCAAACAATGAGTTTTTATAGCAGCATGTGAAATTTTCTGCCAGGAATAGATCAATATTCTGGACTTCCAAGTGTTCAGCACAAACCGAATTTTGTGCACAGTTTAGGCACGGTGAACTGCTTCAATCAGATGTGAGAATAGTGGGAGCTCCCTGAAATTCAAGTTCCTAGAAAACAGCCATGGGCCAACCAACCTTCTAAAGAAGGTCTCTAGAGATAATCAGTCTGCTCTTAACACCTTTCTAAACAGCAATTTTATCCAAAGCTTTTTCCTGCAATGCTTATAAATACTGTTTCTTAAAATTGTCCTTTGAATCAGTTTACTATCTTCTGACTCCCTCATTATCAAGTTAAATTTTAAGTCTTTACACATGCTCATTTCATGAGTCATGTTGTCAACTTTATAAAAATTTTACTTTGAAATAATCCAAACAGCAAAAGTCAAGTCTAGCCAAAATTAACAGCTAAAAACTACCAACTCAATATTATCAAGGCTGACTACTAAAAAAGTTACACTTTTTAAAAAACCCTTTTTCTTGCATTTTATATTTTTCCTCCCTGATTCTCTACACTTCAGAAAGCCCTTTAAGTGGCAATCACTYGGCTATTTGTACTTAGGGCACAAATTAATAAAAAGTATTTCTGCAAGTGGGCAATATTAAAAAGATCAATTTTCTCTTTAGTTTTTACCAATCATAATATATATATATAAATGCTACATTAAGATGAATTTCCCATTTAAATAAATGACATGTAGTCAAAATTTAGAAATTATTTTATATCACTGTAAAAAGCTGTGAGCCTTTAAAAGACTAAAAACCTTAATTTTAAATTCAAATGATATTCTTATTTTTGAACTTTCTTATGCTTTAGACATTTCAAATTTATTTCAATAAACATCTTCCTATTTTTTGTGAACTGCATTTTAAAATCAGAATTTTATAAATTTCCATTTATAAATGTGGCAAACAAAACCCAAAATATTCAAATTTTATTAATAATAGAACATAAGAATTGGCAAGGCTAACATATACATAAGGAAAGTAAACATCTCTTGAATAAAAAATAGGAAATATTTTAACGGAAAAAAGTCAAAGAYTGAAGGAAGAAGAAATTTTTCTAAACAGCAGCTGGTACTTCCATCACAATGTGTACTATTTGTGCAAAGACATAATTAAATAAATACTTTTCTGATATTTACAAAATAGAGGTAAGAGGGAAAAACCTACAGTATAAGGGTCTTTGATTTGCTGTATCGTTTTCAATCTTCTGAATAATTTACATACCTATTAAAAATGTGATTCTAGTGAACTATGTTGAAAGCTTATCAATCAAGTCATCAATAGTATAAACAAGAAGTTGAATGTCTGCTTTTTCCTTCATTCTATGATCACTATGTTTTCGGAGGATGACATCTACATCTTTGCTGACTACTTGGTCAGCAACTTGCATAGATGTATGCCAAGGTACGATGTCATCCTTCATGCCATGGAGTAATCTTATAGGGCAGTTCACAGGAATTGGACTATGTAACAAGCAGTGGTGTTCTGCTTCCTTAATGAAACTGTACGGAATGTGATAAAATCCTTCTTCATGATATTTTGATGGCATGGACCACACACCTTTTATCTCCACTTCCTTTTTTACCTATTGGGAAAAATTAGGAAAATAAAAGCAGGTAAGTAACATTAACACATGCAACAGGCTTTGTCTCAGGAAAGCAGACCTTGCATAAGAGGACAAAAATATAACAATAATAATTATCAAAAATTAAATATTATAGGGCTGGATTGTGGCTCAGAAGTAGAGCGCTCGCCTAGCACGCATGAGACACTGAGTTCAATCCTCAGTACCATATAAAAATAAAGATATGTGTCTACCTATAACTAAAAAATAAATATTTAGAAAAATACTATGTGCAAGGTGGTATGATAGGTACTTTACACATATTATTTCATAAGATCTTGATAAGAATTCTGTTATCATTCCATTTTTATAAAAGTAGATATTAAGGTTTAGAGAAATCAGAAATTATGTTTGGAGTTCAAAGTGAATGTTATGGCTATGAATCAAATTTAGATTTATCTAACTTTATCATACTGCTTAAATCAGTTATCACTTCACTCCAACTGAAAAGGGCAATAAGAGAAAAGTACAATAATTTCTAGGAATCAGTCCAAGAATACACTTATATTTACTTAAAATCAGATCTTAGAATAAAAGTTGTTTAAATTTCAAAATTGTAAAATGAAAAGAAACCATAAGAAGTATGTAGAATGAGTATGGAATACAGGAAAAATCCAGCATAGAATTAAAAATGAAAACTAAGACAGAAATGAACACATGTTCATGCAATTTTAGGCTGAAGGTAAAATGTATAGTTCTTACTTTTCAGCATTTTAGAAATGAGAAAAAAAATAGCTTGATTTGAATAACACAGAAGTCCTCCAAATACTTCCTGAAAAACTTAAAAATATAATTTCTAGGTTTATTCCCTTAAAATGAAATATTATATGTTCTATAAATCCTTTTGAGAATTTCTAATTTTGAGATTATAATTTATCTTATTTTTTCAAATTAAAAATTAGAACTTTCAATGTATAACATATACTTATTAATCACAGCATATATAAGCAAGTACACTGAAAAAAATCACTATCCATAATYCTACTTCATGGAAATAACAATCCTTTTTATTCTGACTTTCAGGATTTTTATGCACTTGGTTTTTATATATGTAATATGTAAAATATCCATATACAATTTTCTATAATGCCTTATTAATTTACTATTATTCCTGGGTTTTTCAAAACTCTATAGTTTTTAAAGGCTGCAGAGTAGTCTACTATGATCAACTTAAAATAATTAGCTTGACCATTCCCATATTATTATTCACTGAATATCTTTAAAAGAAAAGATCTGTACATAATATCTGAAAGCTGTGCTTCTCAGTATGTCTCCAAATGATTTTAAATTAATGAAAATTCTATAAGATAAAAAAATATATGAATCTATTAATACATGGGGTTTTCTGTAGTAAAACAACATATAAACCAAATGTTTAAAAGAAAAATGATATTCAGTCATCTTCAAGCAAGATTGTTCATTAATTTGTATATTTCAGTAATTAAAACTTAGTTCCATTGGCTATTGACTGATACAGAAGCTAGGCTAATTACTGAGACACTGAATTAATAATATTCACATTACGCACCCTGACCCCCAACTATCTGTTATCTACCACTGAATTAAATGAATATATTTCAAGAACAAGTTATTAACTTCATAAAATATTTCATGTCCCAAACTCTCAAAAACAAAAAGTTCAAAAATAGCAAAAACAGTATTATCCCAAGAAAACATTCAGTATATGTAATTTTTATACCAAGAAGAAATTATCATCGAGGCAATGTGATCTTCAGAAGCTTAGATTCAAAACAGCTGTGCATCCTGTCTGAGGAGATGATTAGCAGCAGTTATGAGAGAGATGAAGTTCCAAGACAAACAATGAGAAATGTTGAGTTTAAAATTCCCAAAGTCAAAAACGATGTAAAATTCTCTCCTGTTCTCTTAACATTGTTATGGCTAGCTATTTGTGTGGAAAAGAGACAGTGGTCCCAGTATCCCTGCTCTTTCCTTTTACATGCTTATAAATCAACAACTTTGCTAATGTGATCTAGAATTAGCAAATATATGCCCTGATCTTCAGACTAGAGGTCTATACAGTCATTAGGGACTATACACCGCATCCTCATGCTGAGTGATGTGGATACACGTATACAAAAGCAAATGTACATAGATCTTGTCCTATGTACTACAAAATAAAAATGTTTTTAACTCCCTTTCATTTTGCCACATTTTTGAGATAATTTATGAGAACTGTATTACTGAGTCAAGTAAATGGAGTCAAGGGTCCAGTGTTTAGATGCACAAAATAGTAGGAAAAGCATGAGGACTGAGCAACAACTATGTACAAGTGTAAAAAAAGAAAAGAAAAGAAAGAAAACATTTCAGAAATAAGAGCTAAGTGCAAGGAAGATGTAATTTTAGCCCTGATAGGAAATAATATGAGGAATCTGACTAGACAGACAATATTTCTTAAGAAGCTAAGAACTTGAACTAAGAACAAACTTAGAACAGATATGGCACAGATTGCAATGCAGAACTTGAGGTAAAAGTCAATGACATTCTACTATTCAATACTACATACTTTATTATCTTCTTTTTCTTTCTTTCTTTCCTTCTCTTTCTGAATTCTCTATAGCAGTGGTTCTCAAATTTTACTCTGGTGGCCTGTTAATACAAATTACTAGATCCACATCCTCAATTTCTAATTCATGGTAAAGCTCAAGCTCAGGAATTTGCATTCTTATCAAGTTCTGAGGTGATGACTATCTGCTTGACTGGGGAGTGTACTTTTAAAACCATTGTTCTTGATTGTTTTTTAGTCTTTAATTTCTATGCCTTGACCTGCCAGGAGCTTAGTCCCACATCTGAAAATTTAGGTCTCTAGGAAAAAACAACCCAGGGAGAATTCAATTAATTAGAAAACACATAAAACTATACAAAAATAAGAACCTACTATTCATTATTTAATTTTTATTGTTGAAAATAAATAATATGCTTAAACATATGGCCAAGAACAGAATGTAATAAACTAGCTATCTTGACAGTTATTTCAAAAACCTCATTTGTATCATGATCTGCTAAAAAACATGCTAATAACAAAAAGCCCCTCTTCCCCCTGCCTAAGAATTTGGAGTAGAAAAAGAATGCTACTATGTAACTAGTCCAGAATGACAAATTTTATCTGTATGCACTGATTTTTGGCTGATGTCTGTCTGTCCCGAAGATCTGAGGCTGCTTTCAGGCTAAAACAAATTTTAAATTGTTTAGTTCAGTTTAAAACAGTAGTGGGAATAGGTAGTACTTACCTAAATGCCACAAAGTTAAGGAGGCACAAAAGTAGTTCATGATATGTGATCCAAACACATAAATGTGATTAATAAAGAAAGTCTTCTTACTTAGTGAGACCCTGTCTCAAAATAAAAATATAGTAAAAAAAAAGAAAAAGGGCTGGGGATATGGTTCAGTGGTAATGCACAATGTGTCCCTGGATTCAACTCCCAGTACAAAAAAAAAAAAAAAAGCAAAGAAAGTCTTCGTAAAAAATAAATCACAAAGTATGATTTTATTATTAATGTGGCTCAAATATTTGGAAGAATGACTTGAAAGGAACTGTAAAGGAAACCTTAAGCAAGAGACCAAACAAACTTTGTAAAGAGACCATACAAAAAAATCAGGTAAGATAAAAGATGAGCCAACATGATGTCAAGTGACAGATGATACATAAACCATTATTCAAAAAAAGATAAATTAGAAGAATGATAGGGTTTACCACTGGGTTTACCAAAGTGACCTGTGACTCACCTCAACAGGAAGCTGATTAAACTGTGTCACTAGGCCATCTGCAGCTGTAGCTACACCAATAAGAGCCACGACCTTATCTGGCCGTGCAACTGCAGCATGAAGCATAAGCCATCCACCAAGGCTAGATCCAACAAGTATCTAAGAATAAAATTATATTACCACTTTAGAGAGGAATGTTTGTAAGGGAAGTAAGTAGTTTAATATAAATATATGTATTTTTTTCTTCTATATACACATAGCTACCAGACTTTTAATATTTGGCACAAAGTAAAATTCAATTATAATTAACTCTGTAGAAATATTAGGCAAAAATTTTGAAAATAAAATTCATACAATGAAAAGTAAATTGTTATTTTTTTTATTAGAAAGTTAAAAATGATGGAAAATGTTAAATCAAAATTGTTCATAAAACATTGTTAAACATTTAAAATATTAAATTTTCATATCTATCATGAGAATATAATTTATAATTATCATCTTTAATAAAAACAGTCACCTGTGGTCCTTCAGCTAATTCATCAATTATAGAAAGTACATCTTTTCTCCATTTCCCCACTGTGCATTCTTCTGATTTGCCATCCGAACTTCCAACTCCTGAGTAATCAAACCTGAAAAAAAAAATACATTTATATCTAAATGTTTATGTATCTCTGTATATCTGCTTCTTTAATTTTGAAGATGGTACATTTATTGTTATTAAAATATCAAAAATATAGTGAAAAATCATAGTATATATATTTTAGCAAATTGTATTGGCTTAACCTTCAAATATCTTCCATTTCCAATCACCTCCTTACCTGCTCCACAGCTAGCCCAACTCATTATCACCTTTCAAATGGACTAATAAAAAATCTTTCCATAAATCTCCTGGTTTCTATTTTCCACTTGCATATTCTAATCTCCACATAGAAATCAGAATGACCATTTTAAAACAAATACATGTGTTACACAAACCTTCCAAAGGCTTTCTATAATCTTCAATAAAACCCAAAGTCCTTACCATATTTTGGACCCTGACCAATTTTCCATTAGAGTTTTTTTTATTAGAAATCTTATCTCTTACTGTTCTTTTTCCCTCCCTCCCAACTGTATTCTCTCTTCCTTTACTGAATTCAAGGAACACAACATCCACTTCCCTGCCTCTTCAGCTTTCCTTTCTACATAGTATATTCTCTCTCCAAATATCCATCGAGTTGCTCTCTCACTTCATTCAGGCCTCTGGCTCTAATATTATACCCCCAGGAAAATTTTCTCTGGCTGTTCAATCATTAAAATTATGCGTCTTTCATCATTCTGTATTTCCTTACTGTTTTATTTTCTTCATAGCACTTATACTTGACAGATAAGACACTTGATCATTGATTTGTGGCCTGTCTTCCACACTGGAATGGAGGCTTCAAATGGGCCCACAGTTTGTTTTGTTTACTCCCGCTTTCCCAGTGTCTAGATCAGTACTTTGTAAGTGGTAAATGTTCAATACATATTTGCTGAATTCATGGTAAGGAAGGAGATCAGAATCAAACTCATCATGATGAACCTATACATTTCTCCTTGTAACTTTCTAGGTATCCAGGGGCAGTTTATATGATCTGTAAATTTTAATTCTCCCTTCAGGTCCCAATTAAATAAATCATGAAGTATCAATACCATGCCCACAGATTATCTTAAACCCCAGTCATATTAAACTTTTCCCATTTCCCAGACAAGTCCTTTCATAACTCTGAGCCTTTGCATGCTGTTCTACTATTTACAAAGCCTTCTTTCCCTGCCCAAACTCCTTGCTGTTCTTTAAGTCACATCATATAAACTTGTTTTTCTCTCTGCGTTCTTTCAATAGATAGAGAAACCTCACTGAATTTAACAACATCTACTAAATGAATAAAACTGGAAGGAAAAAGAAAAATTACTTTATTCAAATATCAAAGTTTTCTTGCTTTTCTGATTCTGAAAATCTAGTGAAAACTAGTGAATCTTTGTTATTAGAGTATATGAAATTATTTTATTATTAATTTTATTTTTAAGTGATAAAAAAAAAAAAAGAAAGCTGGGTACGGTGGTGCACACTTGTAATCCCAGCAGCTCAGGAGGCTGAGGCAGGAGGGTTGCAGGTTCAAAGCCAGCCCCAGCAAAGACAAGGTGCTAAACAACTCAGTGAGACCCTGTCTCTTAAAAATATACAAAATAGGACTGGGGATGCAGCTCAGTAGTTAAGTGGCTCTGAGTTCAATCCCCAGGTGCCCAAACAAAGAAACAGAAATTTACATTTTCTTTATGTTTGAAATTAAATGACTTCATATCTTTGGGAAATCTGAACAAGGCTGTTACTATAGTCTAAAACATAGTTATTGTTCCATCATCAATCCAGGGTACCCAGAAGATCAACTAAGGAGAAGAGTGCACTGGATTTCCTTTCTTCCCTTCTTGGTGGGCAATGAGGTATCATTATATGCTGCATCTTTTACAACTACCTTCCAAATATATGGAGAGGATGCAAAATACTTGTGAAGCTCCTTAATGAAAAAAATATAAGCATACCTCAGAGATACAGCAGGTTCAGCTCCCCACCACCATAATAAAAAGAATATTACAATAAAGAGTCACACAACTTTTTGGCTTCCCAGTGCATATAAAAGTTAGGCTTATGTTATATGGTGGTCAATTAAGTATGCAATAGCAGTATGTCTAAAAGAAAGTACATAACTTGATTAAAAAATACTTTATTGCTAAAAATGACATCTGAATTGTAGGAAAAATGATGCTGAAAGACTTGCTTGGTGCAGGGTGGACATGAACTTTGAAGCTGTAAAATATGCATTAATACATTTAGTGATGCTAATAGGTTACAAATAAAAAATATATAGCTCCCTCTTGCTGCATCTTAATCCAGAGACAAAGGATACTAATTCAAACAATTTAGTATTTTTAAGACTTAAACAGCAATATAACTTTGTTCTAGCAGCTTCAATTTTTCAGGGGCATAGGCCCAAATTAAAAATACCACTAGAAATAATTATGAGAATGCTAGCCTGAACAGCATGTGTGTGTGTGTGTGTATGTATATGTGTGTGTATGTGTGTGTATATATACATATATATATACATATATGTGTGTGTGTTTCCTTGAATTCTGATGCAATTTTACTTTACATGCAATGTGATAAGACATTATGAAACCATTTTCACATGGCCATATGTACCATTTCTTATCTAATAAATTAATCACTTCATCTTAACATCTAAATTTTATAGTGAGAATTACAAAAAAAGTAAATTGAGGATAAAATTTCTTGTAGTAAACTAAAATGCAATCAATAGTTAATAGTGACTATACTGTAATGAAGTTTGATAAGGTCAATTTAAAAAAAACCTGATCAAATTAAAAATTTTAGTAAGTGGGCTATACTTTATAGTTATTGTTCCATCATCAATCAAGGTATAATTTATATTAGTATATCATCCAAAATGCAGAAAATTCACAGTATGTCTTAGAGAGAGAGGAACAGGTTATAGTTCTCACAGGCTCAGCTGAAATTTAAGAATCAGTAAAAAGGTGATTTGTTAATTCAAATTTGGGTGGGGGTCAAGAAATAGTAATAGCAATATTTGTGATATGATATTCTGCTAAGGGCAGCCTCCCTCCATGGACAGAACTTCCCTCTTATTTAAATCTTGACTACTTTTCAGTGCTCCAGGTCTTTTCTATCCACTTCAACCCTCAGTTTTCTCTCACCTTACATAACTAAGTATGTTGCTCTTTTTTTTTAACATTTATTTTTAGTTATAGGAGGACACAATATCTTTATTTTATTTTTATGCGGTGCTGAGGATCGAATCTGGTGCCTCACTCAATGGTAGGTGAGCACTCTACCTCTGAGCCATAACTCCAGCCCCAGTATGTTGCTCTTTTGACTATCACATTCTGATGAGTATTTCTGCCTAATTTCCTATCTGAATTGTCTCCACCCTGATTGAAAGAATCTTAAGGACAAGTACAATTTTTTATAATTCTTATTATTCAGCACCCAGTATAAGGCTAGAGACTATTTTCAAAAAAATACTTGTCTTCAGAATAACAGTTAAGTTGGAAGAGATTTTAAAGAGCTCTCACCATGAAAATAATTCTGATAAATTGCTGGGAGGGAAAAAGACTAAATCCATATAATTTATATAAATTCTGCTAATAGGTTGAACAGAGAATATCTAGCTATATTTTATAGAACTACTGGATATTAGTAAAATTACTTTAAAAACTTAGGTGAATAGATTTTTGTACAGTTAGTGCTAAAAAAAAAAAACCCTCAGAAATTATATTTAACTTAACCTCCTTGTTTTGACAAAATTTGGTTCAGTGTTTATTGACTGACTTGTTTGTCACCATTACTGAAAGAATTTACTTTAGAACTCCAAATTCTTGAATTCCAGGCTAATACTCTTTTGACTAAACCATACTCTGCTATTAAATTAGATAATAAATAAGTGACTGTTACAGATAAACTTGACAACAAAGTGAACAAATTATTTTATTAATCTAATTGCTGGGGTGAAAAATTAGGAAATGTAAAATTAATCTTCAGTTAAACACCACCAATCCCTATTTATGCTTATAAATATTAAGATTCAAGGACTGAAAAAAAAGAGAAAACTCAGCAAAAATGTGAATCATAGAACACTAATTTTACAATACTTTTAAGTACATAAATTACTTTTAGTTACTTTGTGTTTATGTGTGTGATGCTGGAGATCTAACATGGGTTCACACTGAAGTATACTAAACACTCTTTTGCAACTAAGCTACAACCTCATCCCTAAATACACATTTTAGAAGGCAATAAACAGTGGTCAAATAAATCCTTGTGTCTCCAGGGGAAAACCACAATAAAATTAAAAGAGATTACAAGAAAGCCAACTAATATATCTGTTTTTGTTATATATCCTTTCCTACCACTATTGTCAGTCAGCACAAAGACCTTTTAAAAAGGTCTTTAAAGGTTGCTTTTACAGTCACCCTAAATCACAAGATGAAAGTTTACAGACCATTAAAATAAATTAATCTAGAAAAGTGTTGGCATTTATTTCAATTGATTACAGCAGAAGTAATTCTCTATCACCATGCTAAATAATACCAATGTTCTCTGAAATGTTTTGTTCCTACCTTATACAGGCATGACCTAGAGATTTGCAAAACTCCTCAATTGCCATTGCTTTTGTACCATTCATATCAGAACGATAGCCAGGAATGAAGATAACTCCTGGACTTTTGCCTTTTAGCCTCTTATAAGCCAGTTTGGGGAGGTCTTGTCGATTAAGGAAAGAGACTGATGTCTTCTGTCTGCAAACTAAACAAAGTACAAAAAGCATAAATTATAATTTCTAAGTACATTTTTTTGAAAATCATATATAAAACTTTACCTTTCTTAACTCATTGATATTAAATACCATTTCATTTTGATAGGGGAAAAAACAGACTAAATTAACAAGTACTAAATTAATTAGTCATGGCATCTTTGTTTTAAACTGTGTCAAAACCAGTAACTTCAAGGTCCAATCTTCCAAATTACAGAATGAAGTAGAAATTTCAAGTAAATAAAAGAGATACATCAAAAACCATTTTCCTATTGCTGCTACATAACCTATCCTCAACAGTGTTGATAAACATTAACTATACTAGTTAAAACCCTCTTTTCAGAGATTTTGTCATCTTTTTTATTGTTTGAGAAGTTTCACATCCTCTACTCTTTGAATTGCAAATATTTTTGGAAAGATTTCTCATAGGACTCTGCAAACACTTTGTTTATTTGTGTTGGTTTGGCTTTTCATGAATGATACACACAGGTATTAGAATAATTTAATTAGAGCAGCACAAATGGTGAACTTTACAAAGTCAGTTCATTTCATTCTTTAAAAAACGTTTTCCCTAAAATAAATCAATATTTGATTAAAAAGATCAAAAGATATAGTATTTAACACACACCCCTCTTTCTCCCTCCAAAGCCATTACATTTGTGTACTTCCTTATAATGTGGGGTCCTCCCCCACCCCACTAACCAATTTCTTTTACATTAAATGGAGCTTCCGCCACTTTCTTGCAGCTAGGGAAAACCTCTCAGTTCCCTCCATATATGCCGTGAAAACTTTCCCCATTTTGGATTTGTTATGTTTATTTTTAAAAAAGCTTATTTGAAGGCTTTAATGCTCTCCCTTTTACATATAAGCCTGTTTCAAAGTTTCAATATATAGAGAAATATGCCCAATTTAAAACCTTTGGTAAAAAACTGGGCCAGTTGTTGGTCAGCAATTGTATCAGCAATAATTGTCATCTTCCATTTCCTCAGTTAAGCACCCAAAAAACTCCTTTCTCTCATCTTCCAGTTATTATATTGGCTGCAGTTATTATATTGGCTGCATAAGAATTTCCCCAAGACAATTATAATTTATTTAAAGTGAATATATTCTTAACATCATATCCATTAATCATTTTTGTACAATAAGGATTAGCTAAAAGCTAGGTACATAAATGCTCAAAAAGTATTTACTAAACAGAAGAGTATACCCTTAATGAGCTTAATGAACGGACATTCTATACTTGGCTAGTACTTACACATAACACATACTTTTCGTTGTGTATAATTAAAGTTAAATTTACTATGTAAGTTTAACTTTTAAAATTAGAAACAAAAGCTCTCTACAATGACCAATTAATTACTATCCTAGATACCAAGCATCTGACAGCTATGTGATAAGGGTCTGAAAAGACAAAGGACAAAATTCAACAAGACTTTGTGTGTGTGTGTGTGTGTGTGTGTGTATGAGAGTCTCTGTGTTTGATCCAAAAACGTGTTTCCTTTGTAATAATTATGGCTCCCTCACTGAGTGGGAGCATCAAGAAAACAACACTACAAAATTAGGATTAAAGAGTGGCAGCTACACTTTTAAAAAGAACATGCCTCATATTTTAAATGTTTCAAGTCATGGGAGGGCAGGTCTAAGTATTTTAAATCGTAAAGCCCCCAAAGCGAGTAATAACCAAGTGCATGCAGAAAAAGCAGGCAAGTAGAGGGCAGAAGCTCCTGAAACTGCAGGGAGTAAAAGGCCTTGGACCCGGGCTTCCAAGAATACCCCAGGGCTCCAGCAGGGCTCTCCTCACAGTCTCCACCAGAAATGTACAAAGCGCCTGGAGGGCTAAGAAAAAAGGTAAAGCGCTTTTGAACTGAGCGCCAAAAATGCATTGCACAGGAAATGACCGAACGCCGAGTGTTCGCGTTCGAAGGAACGCAGCTTACTCTCGCCTTTCGGACACTAACCTGGGAGCCACCGGGGCGCCCGCTGGGGCTTCCGTGGAAGTAACGCGCTGAGGCCACGGTGTGGGCCAAAGGAGACGGCTGCCCAGCCCCAGCTCCGACAGGGTACCCAGGCAGCCACAGCCGTCAAACCCACAGCCGCCATCTTCCCAGCTGTCCCTGCGCCCAGTCGGCTTCTAGAGAGACGCAACACGCATAGCTCCCGGGCTGCGCATGCCCAGCTCACTGGAAGGCGGAACTTAGTAAACCTTGCTGCTCAGCTTTTTCCCCTCGGAAGAGCGCGCATGCGTAGAGCATCCGCCGCGCATCCCGTTCTTTATACTGCATTGATGTTTCTTCTTTAGGAAAATTTGCCTCTAACAGTTTGGAATACTTTGAGTGACCTCGAGAAGCTGCCTTCTCAGCTGGCTGCTGAAAGCTCGGAGAGGAACCATATCCGGAGTTTCTAGATAGGAAACCCTCTTATGGTCCGGAGGACCTTTGGGAGAGGAACCAAAAGGCTTGGTGCATCCCAAGTTCCCGTGACTTCCTGACAGTTTTAACCTCCACCGAAAACGCCTCCAAGATGCGACCTTAATCCTGATGTGTAAATCTCTGATGTGAAATCAGACATCTTCTGGTTCCCTTGCCCATTTTCAACTCATAGTATTTGTTCTAGTTTTTCATGTTCCTGCTGAATGATTGAATTATCTTGACCCCCGCTTCTTCCTATGTRGAAGAATAACGTCAGCAGATTAAATCATCTAAATGGAAGAATAGGATTTAGAAGAGTAGATAATCTTTGTAGAATATTTTATAATCCAGGAATAGAAGGGAATTTTTAAATTAATATTTGAAAACCCCAAATTATACAGAAAAATACATTTGATTGTATATGAATTTAGACATTTTTAATGGCAAAAGATACATTAAGTCCAATGAGAACCTAGGAAAAAACTAGGCTTTACAGCATAGATACATTGATTCTACTCAGTTTACTCTTAGAAATAAGAAAAACAATTTCRATAAATTGACCAACAGCTATGCATAGGCAGTTTATGTAAATAAACATGTCTAATTGAAAAAAAATGTGAATTTAAAAAATAACATATCATTTTTTCCACCCCATCAGAGTGGCAGAAATTTAAAAAGGGCAACTATTTGCAAAGATGATGGAAACTATCATTTATGTATTATTGCTGGGAGAGTGAAATGCTAAAATCTTGACAAGTAATCTGGCCACATTTAATACAATTTAAAATAAGCATTATTTTCAATGCCCTTTGGCCCAGTGCCCTCCCATTTGTGAGTACCTTATTGAAAACAAGAAACACAAGTCCATTATGATGCATGCTATCTGCTATCTACTACAGCACCATTTCTTGGAGGCAGACAAGGGAAAAAAAATGAATGGACCATAGAAAAAATGTTGGATAAATTATACAAGTGTTTCTGGACTAAAACTCTTGACATCCTTCAAAGTAATTCCTGAGGGCCACAGATATCAACCAATAAGGCCTTCTCTAATATTTTTCTGCTTAAAAGTCACTTAGTTGGTGTAATGCTTTGAGGTGAAACCACTTGACTATTTTTAGTTATGAAATTTGGAGAAATGACTGGTACCAGAGCTAAAGGCAAATGTTGTATATAGTAAATCCAGCATGTCTTTGGGGTCTTAAGAACCTGTCCTGTTAGAATAGAACAAACTGGAAAAGTTGGATAAATAGAGACTGAATAGATCTCTTTCTTAAAAGGTATAATGTGGGGGTTGGAGCCGTAGCTCAGTGACAGAGTGCTTTCCTAGCATGTGTGAGGCACTGGGTTTGATCCTCAGCACCACATAAAAATAAACAAATAAAGGCATTCTGTCCTTTTACAACGGGAAAAAAAAAACAGTTGTAATATCTCCCAAATTGGAAGGACACAGAGTAAGGACTTAACTTCAGGACATACTACACAAGATGTTGAGCTATTTTGCTAGTTTTCCATTAGGCTACAAAGGGACTGAATTACAAGGTGATACCCAAGGAATGTCACTTCACCATCCCGAGTATTTTAACAACAAAACACTTCTCTTTTTTGTTTTTGGATAATTGCAAATGTTTCCAATGATTCCTCTTCCTTCTTTCCCCTTTAATTTTTCAGGTCTTTTGGTATTTTATGTGCAGCAAACTAGTGGCAACATTCATACTCCGAAAAATGCTGCACAGAAAAAGCAAACCTATTAATCATTTTCTTTGTTCATCCTAACCTAGCATTTCAGGAACATTTGTGGCTTAAGACAAGTGTAAATACTTTTCCTGACAGTGATGGACTTGATATTGACCAACTTGTTTGCATTCTGGCCATCTACTGTCAATGTTGCCTTCATTAACAACGGTGTGAAAGAACATATTGTTGAGGGCAGTTTCTCTTTCAGAAATCTGCTATCTTAATTTAGAGGGACAAATGAAGTACTCATCAAGTAAAGTCCCAAAGCTTTCCTTCACATTTGCATTTTTTTCTTGTTGGATAGAAAGATAAGTAAACAGAGTCCTGGAAATCCACAGTTATTACTGCCTTCATGCGAAAAGACAATAAGATGTCAGAGTTTTTAAGTTTCATCTCATTTTGTAAGCAATAGCAATGTGGCCAGAGATCCTTCCAATTATTAGTTTTCAAGCTAAAAATCATAATGTTAGCACACAACAATCTTTATGTGGATTCTACAATTGATTTTTGCTGATTAATCAATCTCCCATCATGTTGTAGGTAGGTAACTTCTTAATCAAAGAGGAGTTTACTTTCAAATGTGAAATCAGGTCAACATTTTAATCCAAACTCAATACATTTAACACACAAATTTAAAAGGTTTAAATCATGCAAATTGATTAGAATACCCTTACAATCCTATGGAGATAATACAGTACAGAAAAGTTTTGTCTTCATATTAACCAACAAAATCTCAACAATTGCATTTCAATCTCTTAGATCATTAATCAGTTTAAAGGTGATCTCTTTAAAATCATATTTTAAAAATATCTTCTACAATCATGATTTTTGTCCTTCATTGTTCAAGTAAAATCTTGTGTCATCCAGTTGCAAAATCTTATTATTGGCAACAGGTACATATGTATACAGACTACGTTGCAAAATAAAAAAGAAAATTGTACCCAATCAGGCCTGACGGATTTTATAGACACTTTTAAGCTAGTCATTTCCCCTTTGTAAGTTATGTCATTGTTTTCTACTTCTATTTATTTGCCATGTCTGGGAAAGAGTACATTCATACTTACAAACACACAAAACATGGAAAACTAGATTAAATGGCATCCGAAAAACCATTATAAAAGAGACTTGCCTGAAGTCATTTAATTCAACAAAAATTAATTTAACTCCAAAAAACAAAAGCTAAGTAGAAGAAATACATAATAAACTATTATAGAGAATGTTAAGTGAACTTTGCTTGCCTTTTTATAGAACTACACCATTTCTGTAAATAGGTATTTTAATTATTCTGTTCTTTGGTGAAAACAGAGCTATGAATTCAGAGTTAAGTCATGAGAGGCTGCAGTTAATAAGTATGCTCCATAACAATCCATAAAGAAAATATGTTACTGGTTGCCTTTACTCTCAGCATTGGGAATGGAGAAATCTTCAGCAAAATAAGTTCCTAACATCAAATGTTCTCTTTATTTAAAATTGTTCAATATGAGAGAATGTCTGTTGTCTACAGGGGCTTTTTTTTTTTTTTTGAAACACACAGCTATTTTTTTATTCTTTTATAATAAATGGTTTACTATATATGTTTCATAGCTTATACTGATGATGACATTGCAATGACAATTTCCACGGCACTTAATGGCATCAAAATATCATTTAAAAATATAGAGCAACACCAAGTGCAGTCACTACTTGAAACTACTACTGTTAAATAGAAGTCATGCCAAGTCTTTGGTTTTGGTGCAGTACTTAAAAATTAAGGCAAAATTCTTAAAGGACATTCTCCTCCAAGCCCTTATTTGCTTGTTTTTATAAAATGCTGTTTTTTAAAAAGTCAGTTGATTACCAATAATGTCAATGGCAATGATTTGGATGCTAAAATAATTCCATATTTCCAAGTACATATATACAGACATTTTGTAAACTGTTATTCATTTCACCAAAACCAACAATTGRTAAAAATAGTTCATATGAAATGTTCATATATGATATTTATCAAAATAGTGTTTCTCACAGGAACTTTAATTCTTTTGCTATGTATGATCAAACTTTGAATTAAGCTTCTTCTTTCTTTTTACAAAAGACTTCCCAATAAGAAAAGAGTTCTGAGCATGTACAGTTAAAGGAGGGGTGTGTCAGGTCATTCCATCTGAGATTGCATATGGCTTCATTCTTGTATGGGATTATTGCAGTCTGCCCTGAAGTGGACGATTTCTTCTATTCACTACAACAAGAAGTGAGTATATCCTTCTGCCCCGGTAACTATCACATCCATCCAGATCCTCATGGCTTCGGGTGATGGGGCCACCATATAATAGATTCTGTCATGCGTCTTGACACTAAAGGTGAGTAATGGATTAGGGCTCTAAATTCCAAAAATAAAAAGAATGTCAAACAAGCATCTTGAAGTTATAACAGTAAGTACAAAGACATGTGTGAAGGGTTCTTCCTCATTAAATGTTCCTTCTTATAGAAATTTATATTTTTAATTAACTATAACTCCCATGCCAACTCCCAATGCCTTTCTCAGGATTGACCATCTTTCTGGTCTTTTCGCACATGATATCTCACACAGAGCTAATTACTAGTGATTAGTTTATAAAGCTTGGTACCTAGCTGGTAAGAGGTACATAATAAGTGGTGGCTGGTATTCTTAGCTCTATTAAGATCTTATTAAACTACCATTCCCCTCATAACTTCTTTCCCTTTCAAAAAGAAATATCCTACTTATTTTAATGTTAATTTTCCAGCACCATTCTGATCATATCTATTTGTTATTCTGGAATAAGTAAATTGCTTAAAATCCAAAAATATCTTTTCCCAGATTAATTATGCATTTGAATTGTATCAATTTAAAAAACTGATGCTTACCTTATTAGCATTCTTAAGGTGATCATAATATACTTCTTCAATGGCTTGAAAGTATATTACTCCTTTTAATTTAGCTTCATGCTTATCTGCAAAGACAGATTGAAGATCACCACTGATGGGCAGGAAAAATGGTAAACTCATAATTATCACCACTAACATATTTACCTACCATTTGAATTATCTAAGATTTATTAAGATAACCTGGGCTAGTGCATTGGCCTGTTATTTATGAAGGAATAATAATAATAATAACTGTCACCACCAAAACCCATGAAATTCCCAGTTCCAAGCCAAAGAAGCTCAATGACTTGGTTCAAGGCTCTTCAGCAAATTAGCAGTCAAAACAACAAGAACTACTGACTATTAGGTGAGCACACAAAGTAGAAACATTATTGAAACCCATACAAAATTTTTCCCACATTCTCCAACATCTTCATAATGGAAATATTAACATGCAGATTGGTTATAGTGAAATTTTTGAGTGTTTTTATTTATAATTTAAGTAATATTCTACTTATATCTTTATCAACTTGTCCAACATGTTTCATTTTTTTCTTATTTTGAACAGTTTCTCATCAATAATTTATTATCCTTTCAATGCAACATTTTTAACTTGTTTCCAAAGATTTTTTTTTAGATTTAATCATAAAAACAAACTACAAAACAACAAAAGGCTCCAATGAACAGCACCACTCTGTGATTTATTAAGTTCTTGAAATATTTTATAATTTGAACTCTACAAAGATCACAATGCATGTGAGCCTATTAAAGAATTTTAAAAGCATGGGTCAGGAGGCAAGGAAAGAGACTGTCACACCCAGTTGGTGGAAATACAATTGAGGCAGTCCCTTTTGGATGGCAATTGGTAGACAAACACAATTAAAAATGCAAAAACCCTCTTACTCACTAATTCTACCTTAAAACTTTATTGTGTAACATCTACTTTGTTATGGCACACTGGCTACAGGACATCTGCTTGAGATTTAATAAGGTACTGATTTAATTATAGGCCAGCCACACAATGGACTCTATTCGGTCACTAAAACCACTGCAGCCTTTGTGTATACGGACAGGAAAGCACTCTTGACATACTTTTATGTGAAATAGGGCATGAACAAAGTGAATAATTTGTTACCAAAAGGCACAGAAGAAAAAAGAATATATACATATAACAAAGCATATAAAAAACAAGGACAGGGGCTAGGGTTGTTGCTCAGTGGTAGAGTGCTTCTCTAGCAGGTATGAGGCACAGGGTACAATCTTCAGCACCACATCAAAAACAAATAAATCAGGCATTGTGTCCATATACAGCTAAAAATATGTTTTAAAAAACAAAGACAGAAGGTCAGGACACCTCTGATGGAAAAGAGTTTTTCTTTCATTATATAGATTTTATTTTATTTTGAATTTTTTTTACTAGATAAGTGCATCTTTTCCCCAATAATAATAAAAAAGAAACAACAACAACAACAAAAAACTCATCTTAAAAAATAGTGACTCAGAGAAATTCCCCAGAAAATAAACTTAATATATTTAATTACATTTAACCCAGAACTATTTGATAATGGACTATATCTTTGTGTTTTGCTCTTCCTTGGGAAATACTGTTTTTATTAATACCCATGTTCAGTGGGTTTCAATCAGTTTGAATGAAAGAGAAGGTCAATGTGTCCCTCAAACATTTACCACGGAAAGGCTCCTGCAACAATCCATGGGAATACAGTGATACCTTATTTTCTCAAAACAGATACAAAATACAATCTGGAGATAAAAGTACATCTTGTCAGTGTTTCAAGCAGACAGCAAACTAAGGAATGAAACTTCTGTTTGTAGGGCACTTCCTCTGTGGGAAAGCCCTCTGCAGAACAGAAGCCTCTCAACCACATGGAGGGGCAAGAAGATCAATGGTGCTACTGTACATGGACCAGCAAATGCTGTTATTCTTTCTCTCTCAACAGCACTATTCCCTCAATTTTCAGACATTTGTTTTCTGTGCTTCAGCTTTCTTTCTAGACACTCTGTTTTAAGGTACAGGAGGCCAAGGACAAAGGCAGGATCATGAATAATGGAGAGAGCTGGGACTTCAGCCTTCAGCACTCACACTTGCAGCTTCTTCAGGCATGCAAGGGTCACGCGGGGACAAGCTGAAGGGCACTGCTCCTGTGGGGTCAGGTCCAGCCTGAGCAGCCATGTGGGGGACTAGATAAGGACTGCTCTAAGCCTATGCTTGTTGGTGTTTGAATGTGGTATGAATGTGGTATGAATGTGGTATGAATGTGGTATGAATGTGGTATGAATGTGGTATGAATGTGGTATGAATGTGGTTGGGAGTGGACAAAGCTGATGGTGATGGCTATGAACAGAGCCTACTGGGAAGCATTTGTCCCACTAGGTCTCACTGATCATTTACATCTTATGTAAGTATTAGAAAGCTGATGAAACGGAATTTTATCTGTTTGATGTATTAGCATTCTGAGTAGTCTTTCATATACCAGAAAGCTTTGGATATTTTTTAAAAAACTGAAAAACAATYACCAAAAGTTTTGATTTGGAAAGTTGCCTTTACATGGATTAGAAGGATACAAGTTTGAGAAGCTGGCCTGGGGACCGAGCCAGTCACCTGGCTGCTGAATGAAAAAATGAAATAAAGTTGACAAAGAAGAGAAGTATGGGAGATGGAAATGTCTTTGAAGTTCTTTTAAAGTTTTATTTTTGGAAAATTCTGGGTGAGGTTGTCTAGCATGCTGCAAAATTTTGTTTGTGCATTTTTGCCAACAAGAGGTGGGATTTCTTACTAAATAGGCATCTTTACTACTGCACTAACTGAGGATAGCTGCTCTGGATTTTTATAAAACCCAAGGTCAGAAAGCCCTGGGGAGGCAAAGCAGGCACCTCCCAGGGACAGGCCATGTTCTTCAACCACTGACTTCTGAAATAGCTGGACCCCACCCAAGGAAGTCCCTTACTGAAAGGCATGCACTCCTGCCCATTTTCACCCCAATTCTAGGGCTCTCTAAGCCAGTGTGTCCTTCACTGAATTGAAGGGTGGTGGTTTTTCACACTCCTCCTTACATACAGTAACCTGCACTCACTGGTTGGCTTAGATGGCTGAACTGTTGTTTTACATTTTTTTCTTTTTTCTCCCCCACTACCTTTTTTTTTTTTTTTTTGGAGACAGGACCTTGCTAAGTTGCTGAGGCTGGCCTCAAACTTATGATCCTCCTCCCTCAGCTTTCCAACCTGCTGGGATCATAGGTATGCACCTTGGCACCTGGAAGTTTTACATTTATTACACTAACACAATTTACAACAACTCATAGAGATGCTCATGACTGCTGATACTGTCACTCCAAAGCATAATATCTGGTAAGATAACTGTCCTCCTCAGGTATCTGGAGGAAAGATATGGAAAGCAGCTGGAAAGAGAGTACAGCTAGACTTTTGCTAATAATTGTACATACTTCACATATGATCTAAGAGTAAATAAGAGGCCAGTTATATTAATAAGTATATAAGTAGGCCAGTAATACTAATATTTTTGTATTTATATAAGATTCAGTAGGGTACATCTCTTATAATCCAGCAAGTGAGAGTCCAAAAATGCTTTATGGATTTACTTATTCACTAGTTCACAGAGGAGCTTTACTCTCTGTACTTAAAAGATCATATTAGTTTGTAAACATTAGCTGAATGACTGTCAGCTAGGGCTGCTTAATTGTATGTGTTAAATAAGATAAATGGCAATCAATCAATCAATAAATAAATAAATAAGAAGAAACTTATTTTCTGGCCTTGTGGTTCAAAGGCCAATATTTAATGTTAAAAGCATAAATTCCACTTAATATGTGTTTGGTTTGCAGTTTATTGCAGAACTGGAATGGACTGATTCACACTTTATTAATAATATTTTTATTTGAGAAAAGGAAATTCATACCACATTGAATTATACAATCTAAATATAAAATACGGTACATCCTCCAAGCTAATGTTTCCATTACTCTTATTACTTACCAACCTGTTTATACTGACTCTCAATTGCCTTTCCTCTTTAACAGAATATAGAATATTTTCTATATTTTTTGAATATATCACTTCAAGTTTTTTTATCACCCACCTGCATAATAAGAAAATGTTCTCTTATTTCGATCAAAAACAAACCAACGTTTTTTCCAAGTTTTAATTTTTCCACCCATTTTGATGAGGAATCCTCGACAGGTCTTCTCTGTGATGGATACGTGATAACAGGTGTCAATATTGTGGCCAGCAGTTTCTACGTGGCTTCGCAAATCAAAGTCTTCCTTCCGGACAGGTAGATAACGTGTCAAGGGACGAGCCTGAAAAACAATGAAACTCATTCCAAATAAGGCTAAGTATTTTTTTTTTCATTAGGTTATAGATGTTTAGAAGCAGAAACTAAGTAAAAGTCTAAGCTTTAAAGTGCCCATATCATTATGAGAGCTTAGGATAAAATGCTTATCATTTGGAGACTGAGTAGTGGATATTATTTTGAGCACTATGGAAAGGGTAGGTAAACTCAGACCAATAAATCCTACTCCTTGAGGTGGGCAGATGGGAGAATGAAAAACTGTCATTTATTTTAGCTTAAAAGAGGTACTTAGCTCCTAACAAACACAGGGAAATGAAGCATAAAGCTATTTGGGTTGTTTCCTGCAAATGAAGATTCCTCCATGGGAAGATTTCCATTCTCCCTGGCACAACCTAAACAATAGTTCTCCTTAAGTAATTCCAGTCATGGCATGACTGGTTGAACACTATTTAATAAGTACAACCCCCAGAGATCTTCCTAAATTATAAATGTCAGCTTATCTACACTTGGAAAGAAATTGAAGGAAAAAAATGTATGTTTTGAAAATGAAGCTAAAATAATGTTAGAAGTCAAATCAAAGCTGGACCTAACATAAGTTATTCAGAACTAGAGGTCAAAGGGAGGTATTAGATGTTTTTCATTTCACTAATAGTGCAAAGGCTTATCTAACCAAGAAAGATAACCTAATATAACCATGGGTAATATTTATGAAATGGTGTTCTATTTTATCCTGTTAAATAACTCTACCCCTTGGCCCTGGGGAGATGATGTAATCATATACTTGGAGGCAAAAACTTATAATCTGGATTAAAGTAGAATTGTGATTATTGGTTTGGCACTGGATACTAAATAGGCATGGATGACCTTCACTGCAAAACAGAATTTGGTAGGGAAAAGTGAAATAAACAAGTTTTACTTTGTATTTTTCTTCTGTATTTTGCCTTTGATTCTGTGGTTCTTGACTGTGGTTGTGTGTCACAACTTACTGAGCCCTTGGAACACACAAAGCTTTAAAGAGTCTTTAACTGCAGTACTATCAAATTGCAAGTAACTAGCAAGAATAAGGGAAACGATGTTTTTTGTCTTTGAATTTTGTATTGACATTGTATTTGTTTTCAGAGGCTAATGCAGTGGCATTTTTCAAAGTGGATCAAAAAATATTCTTTTAAGTGTACTCTGGAGAATGGGTGGAAGAAAATATCCTCTCCCATCAACATGTTCCATGGAAGTAAAATGTCATTTGATTGGTAGTTACCTAGAGGTTTTGAAATAAAATATTTTTGCCCACTCACAGATACCTTTCATCTGTTTTTGCTCTTCAGCCTTCAAGAGCGGTGAAGAAAGGGGCACCCCACACAGGATGGCTGTCTTCTACGAAATGACCACCAGGGGGCAACCCATGCTTATTCATTTAGATTTACCGACTAACCTGTGCCCTTTGTTTCTCCCTTATTTTCACTTCCTTCTCTATTAACTTCTGCCTCTGGCTAGTTTCTTCCTGCAATCGTTTTTCTAGGAGTTCTCGGCGTCGTTTTTCTTCTTCCAGAGCTCGTTTTTTGGCTTCCATTTCCCGTTCCTAAATATCATGATGCAGAACAATGATTATTTTAAGACATCCTGGTTATACCTGGATGGTTACAACCAATACCTAAACAAAATTCTATCAGATAATTTTTGGTTTGCATTTTATTCTCTTAAAATATATAACCCAGGTTAACACAACCCATACTCACTTCRGGCATAGCTTCCAAACTCATACACAGAAATGCAATCATTAAATTTAATTAACACATCTTGATCTTAGGTGAAAATCCAGCTTGTGACTATATGGAGTTATTGTGTATCCATGACATAGCTCTACCATCTTTAATAAAAAGTCTCACAAAATGTCCCCCAACTCTAGTCGTGGGGTTTAGCCTTTCTTTGGAGGGCCGTATTCTAATTGAAGGTCATGGGTCTTTCAATTCCTGTTGTTACTCCATAGCTTCCTGGCTGAAGGTCACAAAGGAAGCACATAGGGAAGTTAAAAAGGAAAGGAGGTGCCCTCTGGGCAGGATGCAGAGGCATTTAGGGGGATTCCTAAGGAAGTTTGGGTTCTGACTTGAAATATAATCATAATGCCTTGGGATTTTTAATATTACAGCCATGTAGTTAGCACAAGCTGGGAAGGAAGGGAGAATGCATAAAGACAGACATTCTTCTCTGTTCCTTGGCAAAGTCATCAAGTGTCCATCAAAGGAAAACACACTACAAAGCTCCATTTCAGTTTATATCAGCACTATATGTACTTCAAGTTATGGGAATTGCAGTACAGGAAGAGTCTTAGAAACCAACCCTCTAACACTTTTACATTTCAGATAAGAAAGGAGACTGAGAAGACTGAGTGACTTTTCAAACATCACGGCATTTATTAAGGCTCTTCAAGGAGGAGTACTTCCTGATATGGAATACAGGGTTCCCTGCACCAATTACCACATCGCTGACCTCTGGCACTTAGGTATTATACTTACCCTGGATTCAAGCAGCCGTGTCTTTTCGGCATGAGCCTGTTTCAACAGCCTCTCCATTTCTTCTATTCTAGCAATATTTGAAGTACTGGCACTGAAACAAACACAGAAGCCTTTTAAGAATATTGGTTCTGACTGACATGTCTCTCTGACAGACAGACAACATTCATACATACACACACACACACACACACACACACACACACAGTCAAGGGATGTGCATGACAAAACCCGATCGATCATACACAACTTAAAGGATGTTCCTTACGAGTCATTTTTCTGAAGAGGCAAATCAATTCAACTTTGAAAATTGTAGGTGACACTGACTTATCTCAGTTTAGGGGATAAAACTAGGCAAGCAAAATAATTCCAATGTAAACTGCTTTGCTCATAAATAAATAAACCAAAGCCAAATCTTGCCAGGTGTGACTTCAAAACATATCCTTCAAAGTCTAAAACTGATAGCCTGTGGTAGGCCCTCCCACTGGTTTAATGTTCAGATGTCCACCTAATAAGACTGTCACCAAAGTTCTACACAAATGACACCTAACGCTTGAAGTCACTTTATTCAGTTGCAGAATATGTGTCCCCAGCTGCTGTTTGTTGTGTCTTTCTACTACTGGACATTTCACTTCGTAAATGATGATGCAAATTAAAATATGACATCCATCGATGCAGCAGCTGGGTGGCAGCCAGTTTCACGAACACTAACCTACCCAGGGTGTGAATGAAGAAACCCACAAAGGGATTCAGGAGCTTCGAAAGAAATACATCTTGGAAGAGACGTCACATGAACAAGGAAAGGAAAACATTAAAGAGGGAATGACACACGAAGAGCTCAGGGAACTCAAAGAGAAGGAAATAATTGGAAATGTTTAACCCGAGACACAACATTTTATTTTCACTTGTTTACATTTTTCTTAATTTTTCTGGGAAGGATGAACATGGTCTGGGTCACAGCCTCTTTACCCTGGTTCTGTACCCTGGGGAGCCATTGCTGTTCTTGTGCCTATGTACCTTGAAGTCATTAAGGGCCTGTCATCTTCCTTGTCTCTCTTGGGCACAGACAGGCTTTCATGTTTGTGTCTTCATAGCACAGAGCCTGGTATGAGCCAGGATCAATGATTGCCAGGATCAATCATTCCACAGTAGCATTACAGAAAGAGTTAAGGGACAGTGCACATTCGCGCAATAATGAATTTATAACAATGCATGTTAAAAATGAATAAGCTGAGCCCTCTTGGTCATAGATGATTGTTAGTATAATATCCCTAAGTTATATTTTTGATCAAACCAAACTTAGGATGACTCAAATCCAGGGCTAAGAGTTCTTTTGAGGAGATAAATGACCACAGTATCACAGGGCAATGGCTTCTCTTAAAGTCAGTATCGTCAGCTCCATTAAAAAACACACTCTTGGAAGAGAGAGAGCAACTGGATTCTCTCAGGCTTAACAACAAGGCTGGCTTCTTAGAGTGACTTTGGCCCAATTGTTTAGGCAGGTGTTTTCTCCTGAGAAAGAGAATCCAGTAATTTCTTCTTTTTGTCATTAGCTATTGGGAGAGGTACAAAAGAGTAAGTTTTGTTCTTTTCAGCTAGTAAGAATTTAAGGAAAAAAAATCTTTAATGCTTGTGCAGGATTTCTTATTTTTTCCTTCTTTGACAATATCTGATTCATAGACGAAAAAGGGACAATTTCATTGGCCCAACTGAGAAAGCTGAAGATATATAGTGGTAGGCCATGTAATGGCACAAAATTATACTTATATTCTATAGAACTAATTGGGACATCAGATATGTATGTTTTGTGTCTCCAATTAATTTGGAAATTATTTGAGTTTTATTAACTCTCAGTTTTAAAAACTCACCAATTAAAAAAAACCTCACCAATAGACTACCCTTATTTGTTCCAGTTTTATACAATCTATACTATTTATATTTCATTGTCTACCATTTTGTTTTCTTGTTTCATTTCTCTCAACTTTATTGTATTTATATATGTATATCTTATTTATTGTATATATACATAGTATATATATACTCATAAATAATTGACAATGGTATAGATTTGTGGTATAGAACATATTTCGATATATGTATACATTGTGAAATGATTATCATGACCAACAACATACCCATCACTTCACGTAGTTTCCGTGTGTGTGTGTGTGTGTGTGTGTGTGTGTGTGAAGATGCACTGTCCCTTAATTCTTTCTATGATGCTACTGTGGAATGATTGATCCTGGAAAATACTTGTGCCTGGCCATGATAATTGTCCACATTTGCTTCACACAGTACTGCCCCAGTTGTACTATCACAGGTAGCCAGTCCTCATGGTCAGAAATTACTAGTACTGTTTATAATGTTCCAAATGTCCAAAAATTGAGGACAAAGTAAAAGATTCCTATGAAAGATTAAAAGTAAAAGGAAGAGAGAGGAGAATTGGTATTTCTCGTTTGTGTCATCATCTGCCTTAAAATATTCATGTTTCAGTAAAATTAGCTTTTATCCTTTAGTATGATAGAAAATAATATAAGTACCAAGAAAGTAATAGGAATTAATATTTGGAATGAGTGTCATGACAAAACAATCTCAATAGGGAAGTTCTTGAAGACTGACATGTAGAATAATAAAAGACAAAAAAATTGCTGTGTTGAAGATTTTTTTAAAATTATGCATTAAAATATCCCCAAATTATAAGTCTATTAAAGAGGTAATTCCATGCTGAAATTCTAGTAACATAAACTTGGTCTTGTGGTTTATTATGTCACAAAAAGCTTTTCATAGAGTTATAGAATTACTCAGTTGTGGATAATTTACCTCCACTTTTTGTTGAGACATCATTTTTGTGACTACCAGAATGTTCCATGAGCTGAACATTGTTTTTGCTTTTTCAGCACCACTACTTACATTGTCAACAAACACAAGGCTCAGAAAATAGGTCTTGGGTCTTAGAAAGCTAGCAATTGATAGTCAATTCTGCACAAATCCTTATTTTGCTAATATTATTGAACTATCTTCTAGAACAATCTTCTGAAAGCCACCTGCAATGACACCTGTTATTGCTGTTGCCTTGGTTATCTTCCTAAAGCCCTGACTCTGTGCTTGTACTTTCAGAAAATGTTAACAACCAGTATGGACAAAGGCTCAGAGATCTGAGAGTTTCTTCCCTCACAGCCAATAGTCTTCTGTGATGGGTGTCAGAAGAGAATGGAGGGAAGGCAGGGCTGGATTCAAGATGCCAGGACCTGCATCTGACTTTACTCAGGAGGTAGCTGGGTATTGCTAAAGCTTCAGAAGAGGAGAAACCCTGTGACCAGCTTATATTTATGTGTACCTTTGGTTCCAATTTTATAATACTACTTTTGCTTTCCTCCAAAGTATGAACACAAATGTGAATAGTTAAATTCTCACCAAATTTTAGTGTCCAGAACAGCGAGGCTTTCCTTCTAACAAAACTTAAGGATAAAAGACCTCTAAAGCTCTGACTCTATTGTTGGAATTTCTTTCTTTATTTGTTCAAAAGCTGTGAAAATGAACTTGGAGTCCATCAACAGAGGGAACTTGATTTTGAAGCATAGTACAAAGGTGAACTCAAACGTAAATAAAGTAGGAAAATGGACTACATAATGTCTGACTGGCTAAGTCACACAAGGTTCAAAGGTCACCCTGACCCCCAACTCTCTTCTGCATTTGATTTTGTACATATACAATGTCCCAAACTGATGATTTTAGGCTTGAAAACAGAAGGTGCTTTTCCAAACCAAAAATCTTACCCATAAAGAAATCTTACCTAGAGATATTGTCGGGTGAGCAGGCAGAGATGCTGGTCTCCATGCTGTCAGAGCTGTCCAGGCTCAAAGTGTCAAAGGCCTGGTCCTTGTAGCTGTGGTCTGGATAATGGAAACTATTCAAGTACACATTTGACTCAGATGCTGTGCGGTTGTAAAATTCGGATTTCTGCCTTTGTCCTTCACTCATCTGCTGGTGATTATAACCTAAGGGAAAATCCATGAATATGTAAATAGGCCTCATTTATCAGTCTTAGAATCTCATAAATCTAGAGGCTCAAGACAGCAACCAAAAACATCTGCATACAAAGTTTGAGCCCTGTTCGAATTTGTTTTGAAGCCAAGAAGATCAAAGAAACAACATCATGCTCAGTGCAAGCAAGAATTTCAAAGAAGTGGTCTTGTGAGTGACTTTGTCAGTGGGGATCACTTGGCACTTTCCTATCTCATTCCTACGATTCAGTGCAACTGAGAATAACATATCAGTACACACACAACTACAAAGAAACAGAAAACCAGAAATGCAATTAAAGACCTTGAATCCTCTAGAAATAGTTGTTTAAGTGAAGGCAAAGTGATGCCAAGTGACAAGCAACACCAGGGTTATGGGGCACTTGCTTCTTCAATGGCATTCACATTTCAGGGCACTCAGGTCATAAAACAGTAGGTGGATTGTTCAGGTGTAGGCTTTGAGAAACTCACATTTCATGCCAGGTCTAATGTTTTTAATCTGGTTAAGATCCAAACTGTGTACTTTTCTCATTCATATTTTCTCTCTGTATCTGCCTCTTGTCTGCCAACTCATTCAAATGGTTGGACTCCTCCTAAATACATTTATATATCGAACATTCTTCTTTTCTAAGCTTAACAATCAGCCTTTAACTAACTAGTGATAACCACTTGAAAGATGAAGGCATAAATAGGATCAAAAACACCATAAATAGAAGGCATTTTCTTTACCCTGATACTCAAACATGTGGCATATTAGGTTATTGGTTTTATCTTGTGTTATTGCTTTGGCTTTCTCACCAGTAGGTAATTTCAGGCATTATAAATCAAACCATCATCTTTTCAATGTTCTAGAATACATTCAGTAAGTAGGGATCATGATGATGAACACATCTCTAAATTCATCAAAAGGTTTTTCTCTGCAGTTTGAAATCTCTCTCTCCTTGGTTAAAGAAATGACTATGTGAATATCTCCCCTTGTTCAGGGAGTTAATGCCAATTAAGAGTTTACAATTGGACTATTCAAATTTGACTCTTGTGCTCTATTTACCTTTCAATGAGACTTTAATCAGTGATATATGGTGAAAAGTAGGCAAAATGACAAAAAAAAAAAAAAGAGGAGGGGGGATAATTCCAACAGTTTCCTTGGCAGTTGATTAAACATTTCCATTTAGAAACAGAAGCCACATCCATGATGTTTTAACAAAGCATTATCCATCCCAAGTTTCTGTAAAGTCATTTTAGTTTCATGCAGAGTTTTCATGCCATTAGTATTTGGAGCAGCTTTAGATGTCTAGGTAAAAATGTTATTTCAGATTAATTCATTTCTTGGAAAATGTTCTCGTCATTTAATCTGCCATCATAATCATGGCAGATTATGCGTAGGTATATTCTAAAGCCACATATCACTTAGCCAAGGGAAGTTGCAAAATATAAAAGCACACCATGAGAGCAGATACAATATCATTAATAATACTGGTTAATGCATAAATGATAAAATGAAGCCAGTGAATTCCTAAGCGTGGAGCTCGTGCTTTTTGTTGTAAAGAAAGACAAATAATTCATTACTCATATATTTACCTTTTACACTTGAACTTTTGGAATTACTAATTGCGCCTTTTAAATTGTTTCCAAATATTCATTATAACAAGGAGGACAAAAAAAAAACAATAACAGAAATTATTAAAAAGGTTACACATGTGTGTTTCCTTATGATTTCAAAAGAGTCTGTGGCATTGAAAATTCACATCAGCACCAACTACATGGAAGACATTTCCTTGTTTTAATATGAAAAACATATCCCTAAAAGTCGGCCATGAAATTTAAAACATGCCAGAATTATTTCCCTGGCAATGACTGTGCCAAGACCTCCCATTGTCCTTCAGTTTCTTGTAAAGAGGAAAAGCCAGGGGGAGTCACCTTGTGGCAAAGCAGAAAGAGGGTCTGTTTCTTCTTAAAGCAGCTATATGTCCCTCCCTTAGCTCTTCTAGGGTTGTGGTTTTCATTGTAGTTTTTTTTTCATAAATATCAAAGAATAAGAAAGCAAAGTTATAATTTTCAGGTGAGAGAGTAACCAGTAAACTACAAGGACTTGAATCTTTCAGACGGTTCATGAGGGGCAGTTATGACCTAGTGCACCGTGTTCTATAGACTGTGAACACAGAATCCCCAGACCAACTTGATATTCACCGAGGTTTAACTCTGTTTGAAAGAATCTTCTAGATATTCAGGTGGCAGGATAAGCCACTTCTATTTTCATTTCAGCTTAAATGGAAAAGCCTATGGCTAATGAGTCTATGTTTTCTCAGAACAGGATTTTCATTTGCCATACGTCCAACGTGAGCAGCGATGTCCCCCTTACAGAGCTATACATTTCTGCCAATTGGCAGCACTTCAGTGGTAACAGTGAACCCAACTGTCACTTGGCTTGACCTCTTCCTTATTGAACAAGTTTTTTAAAAAGTTTTACCTACCATTATAAATAAGGGCCAGGACCTCTCTTCTGGGATCCTGGAATTGTACTTGTATGATCATGAAGAGCTGGTCTGGAAATTCAGGCTCTGGCCCAGCCATGCAAAAGCATTGGTCCTTTCCAGAAAGGAAACCTCATAGAAAAGCTTGGAGCTGAAGGAAGGTAATTGGTAGGAGCCCAGGAGGCACCACTAGTGCAGAAAGGAGCTCTGGGATAGCCATAAACTGGGCTAAGCATCCACCAAGTTAGCTCTGTCAGGGAGGACAGGAATGTCCTGCTAACCACAGGATCCCCATTTATTTAATACATGACTGTTATAAAAAAAAGTCATTGAATGGTGTTTTTATTCAGCTGTAAATTCCTTATATTAGTGGCCAGATATGGAAGTGAAATGCATCTACTTTTGGGGGCAGGACAACAGAACTAGACTGGGAAAAATGAGACTTGTCATTTTTCCAACCCATGTCTACTTGAATTTTGTTTTTATTTTTTGATTATATAAGCAAGAATAACATTCTGCAACAACTAAGAAGGAAAAGGGGCCTTGAAAATTCCCTAAATTCTTGCCATCCATACAAATATAGTGCTTAAAGGGGGTTTATAAAGTGAGAACTGGTAATATCTGAGGCTTGTCTCATAGCATACACTAGGAAACAAAACAACTCTGCTCTCTTCCTTGCCCAAGAAAGCCAACAAATTGGATGTGTTAGGTCCATTCATTATCATTACCATTATTGCTAATGCCAGTCTATATGAATTCTGGATAAGTGGACCCAAAGGGCCTTTTGGAGTTAGCCATGTGAGATATAGAGTCTTGCCAATATATTCCAAATGTGTGCTACAAACTTTTACATGGTTATCTAGGTCTTCACATGAAAAATGAGGTGATCTGAAATTGTAACCTGGGCTTAGAAGGATAGAATGAGCCAGATTTCCAACACTTCAGCATCTCATAGCTCACCTGCTAAGGAATTGATTCTTCCTAATGACAATCCACAGCCAGAAGAAGATACAGGACAAGTCAGGAATGGATGAGGAGAAGGATGGAGAAAGGGAAAAAGATATAAGATCAAAAGGATGACAAGACAACAGGAAAAATATCCAACACTTCCCACATGCAGTCTCTGATGGTGTTAGTAACAATACCTGAGCAACACAGGATGATGTTCACATTTCTAGATTAAATCTAAGTTTACAGAGAAAACTCAAGAAGTTAAAAAAATTCTTAAGATACATGCATAGTTAGTCAAAAAGCAATTTTAGAGGGAAAAAAACATTTTACCCTTACACATCAACCAGAAAACAGGAAGAGCAAGAATAAGTTACATTTACAAAACAACTCTTTTTTCCCCCCAAGCAGACAATAGCAAGTAGTTTTTAAGAGATAGGTTTGAAAAATGTCATTCAACAATCTGAAGCAGTCCATCAAGCTTTAATGACAAGTCTTCTAACATCTTACATCTTCCTAATTCCCCTCTGTAATAGCCAGCTTGATTATTCAAGCCAGTCATGTAAGCTACCCTAGTCTCTACCAAGTCTTCTTTAAAACAGGATTAAGTGGAATGAATAAGTAGGAGCTTCTTAAATCCTTCTGTCCCACCCCTCACAGCCTGTCTGATTTATTTATACCTGGCTTTTTATAAAGGAGATACAGCATATTTTAAGCTTAGCTTATATACATCACAATGCTCACTCTTCTCTTTATATAGATCCTGAGCCTTACAAATCAGTGGTCTCACAGCGCCCGTATTTCCTGCATGGTCTGACCTTATGATAAAAGGCCAAGACCAAGAGGATCATGCAGCTGCCTGTGAATGGACAGCAGCTGCCCCCAGCATTATGTTTTTGTGAAAATATGCAACATTTTTTTTCTCTATTGTGTCAAAGGAATAATCATTAGCCTAAAAATCCACCATTGTAGAATTTAAAATCCACTCATTTCTTAACGATGACTTGACAATGACCTTTCTATATTTGCTGGAAACAAAAACAGCACACAAGGAAGTTGTCATACCTTTCTTGGACTTTCCTGTATTTAATAAAAACAAAAGGACAAAGATTTCATTCATTCTAAAGCTTACAAAGGAACAATTGATAAGTTGTGCAAAAACCAAAGACCATTACAACCTCAGGAGTTGGGTTCCTCAGCTCTCAGCTTTTAACTTTGTTTTCAAGATCTTTGTGGGAGTCCCACTGTCAGCGCCTTGAAAATGATACTGATGTGGGAAGGCTTATACTTACACCATAGTCCTTGATGCATCCATTATGAATAGCAGCAAAAAAATGGTGCACTTAAGTTAATTGTGTAGGTAAAAAGCAAATGATAAAGTCTACTAAATTTCAGTTAATCAAAAGGTGCTAGGTACAGTTGTTTATCAAAACCCTAGAGTTTGAATTGCATTTGCTATTTTAACAAAACCAATAGATGCTAGTGAAACAATCCTAAATGAATACAGGATTCATTCCTCCTGATCTCTGTGAGCCACCTGTATGGGTTCTGCTGCCACTTTTACCATGGCAGTGGCTGTGAGAACTACCATCTCTGACCCACTTCTCTAGGTGGGGGAACCTGACCCTGGACTCACAGGACATATCTCCTGGATCGACACAGGTATGATGGTATTCTATTTCCTCAGAAGCTGCCCTATCCTTGCACACACTCTTTCAGCAGAACCCCATTTCAGAGCTGCAGCAAAGACTGACGCTGCTGTCTTCTCAGGTGCACAGAAGACATATCAGTGATAGAGAAGCTCACAAAAGATAAATCAAACACAGAAGATTTTGCAGGTCGCACATCCATCATATGACATAAGAAAATTGGCTCAGTTTTCCTTTAAGAAACTCTCATGAGGAGTCCCATTTGTTGAGGGAGAACAGAGATAAGAAAACAAAGCTGAAGCATTCCTTCAGTTTCATAGTATTTTCACAAGAATCTGCAGACATGATAATGTTAATAGCTTTTCACAGAATTAAATCATTTGTGATCCCACCCTCCATCCTTAGTGCTCAATCTTTCCTTAAATCACTCTAATACAAAAAGCACATGAACATGTGAATAGTTTTAGTTGGTGTCATGGCCAAACCAAGCTTTGACATTTTCAGCCAGTGGAAAAAATACATTTAAAAAGAAGTTTATTAATAGTACAGAAAAATACTTCAACAGAAAATAGACTTGACCCACAGGTTAACAATGATACATGAGAGCTGAAATAGAAAGACTCATTTATGTTTATTATTTATGAATGTTAAGAGATATTTTAGCTTATGAAGAATTATATAAAAAATAGAGAAGGTCAATCAAGTGTATTTTATTTAAATATCACCAGTGTAAACATCTCTGATACATATCAACCTTTCCTGAATCTATGGCCTCTTAAATCACTTCTAGTGTGAAGCACTAGTAATAAATAATTTGAAAGCCTTGTTCAAATATATATGTCATATAAACACATACATACATAATCACATGTATTTATAAACTTATTTACATATATGATTATGTGATATATATAGATATATATATTATATATACTTTTTCTCTGCTGGTGGGAAATCAGTGATTATCCCCCAGCACCACAGCAGAGTGGCCAAGCGGTCAAAATTGAATTTCAGGGGCTGGGGTTGTGGCTCATGCTTGCCTAGCATGTATGAGGCACTCAGCACCATAAATAAATACATAAATAAATAAATAGGTCCATTGAAAACTAAAAAAAAGAAAAAAAAAAGAATTAAATTTCAGCCTGTTCAGAGAGAGTGGTTTCAATCCCATCAATGCCTGAATGTGTGTGGAGCCAACGCCTGCCATCCCGCCAGCTTTCCCATGTACATCCTGGTCATACTGTCGGGATATACTGCACTGACCACATATTGCTGAAGTCATCTGTTTTGTGCCTTTTCCCTCACTAGACTATGCATTTTAAGGCAAGGATGGTCATTTATTTGCATTCTTGGTACCTAGAATTCTTCTGCTCAAATGTTAAGACCATTATAAATCTATCTCAAGGAGGAGCTCACTTCTGGAACTATTTTAGAGTAATTTCTTCCAGCCTCATGAAGACTATTTTAGACTCTCATAAACACACAATAATATTACAAAGAAAATATGGGAAGAATCAAAGTCCATCTAAAACAGAGTGACTACATGGTATAAGAGCTTGAGCCTACATTAAAGGCCCAGTGAAATTCTGCTGTGGGCCACCAGTGCTCTATGTTATGTGTCAACTCAGTGACTTCAGCTCAAGGCTCATTCAACATAGTGGCTCAGCCACAAACCAGGAGAGTGGTCTTGGTTAAGCACCCTGATTATCTCCCTGGATCTCAGCGGTTTCTCTTTTCTTTCTACCCATCAAATGAGAAGATTAGTAATTCTCTAGGGGTCTTTCTGGTTGGAGAGTTCTATTGAATTTATAAAGTACAATGAATATGTTTAAAATGGATCAGCTTTATGCATAAATAGGAAAAATCATCTTGATGCAATGAGAATATACATATATCCCTCCTCCAAAGTGAAACATTGAAGAGTAATGTAATTCCTCCCTGAGGAATTCTAATTCTAACGTGGTATTTGATTTAAAAGACACTTACCTCTGAGCATCCTCCGAGATTCTGAGTCTTTGGTCATGGTTGCCAGCGAGTGAGGGAGCACACTGCCACAGCTGTTGCTCTGTCCCAGAGGCAGGTGAGCCTGTAGGAACCAGGAGGGTACACTTCAACCAAAATGCACACCAAATGGTTCTTCAGGAAAAGGCCACATCCCTGTTTCCATAGCTCCTGTCTAAATGTGGAGGGCAGAGAGGGTAGGCTCTTGTATCCTGTTTATTGATGCTAACTGGTACAGGTCAGCTGCTGTCCCTCCCAAGAAGCTCCATGGCAGTCTCAACATCACAGCACTTCCTCTGATGGCAGCAATTCCACGAGTGAAGACAGTGGGAAGAAGACACTGTCTGCAAGTTCTTCATGCATAAGGAGCAGAGGGCAGATGCAGGGGCAGGGATGCATGCACATCATGCACAAGGACAGCGAAGATTTACATTTGTTTTAAATGTACCAATTTCCATCTGCCTCTACTATATGTAGGTTGAAAACTGGAGAAACCTACTGATACTTCACTGGTTTTAGCATTCTCTTTAAAGAGCAAATTCCTTTATGTAAATAACATACATCTGAGTTACCAATTTATAAAATAAATCAAAACACAGATAAGTCTGCTTAAGGGCAGGAGAAGGGTCCGAAGTCTTTTCCACTAAGGATTCCCTTCTCATTTGTCACTTCTTCTGTTTCTTCAATTGACCCCTTGGACACATCAGCAGTATGAGAGGGAGGGTGCAGGTGTCAGAACAAACAGGTTCACATTCTGGCTCCACTAGGTAAGTCACTTAGCTTCATTATACTTCAAGTTATCCATATATACAACTGGAATAATAATGAATCAGAACCCCTATTTTATAGTATATTGCTGGGTTTTAAAATGAGACAGTTGACAAAAATAAGTTAATCCCAGGGTCAGGAACTTAGCAATAACCCAATAAATATTTAATGCTATTATTCCTGAAACCCAGAGCCTCTCATTACTAAATCTGGGATGCAGATTTGAGTGTCCATCACGGGAGTAGAAGTCAGCCACACCACCTGTACTGTGGTGACAGAGAAGATCCTGGACCATGTTCTTTTATCCCAGAAAGTACAATTTCAAATATCTTCTGAACAGAATAGAAAACCTGATTTAGTGGTGATGTCTGCCGAACAAGCACATTTAATGGTTTATTATTTAGCACTGTTCTTAAAGGCCTTTGAACATGAGTGAATACAAGGAGAAGACTCACGGATTGTGAAGCCCGTGGCTCTTCCGTGTCCTACCTTTGGGGTGGAGCTTCTCCCCATTGTGGCACTGCTGAAATGTGGGGAGATGGAAGGTGTGGTTTTCTTTCGAGGCAAAGTGTCACTCAGATAGAGGCCTTCTTTATGCTGTTTTTTCCTTTCTTCCAGACTTCTAAAGTGCTTTAAATGCAAATGTAAAGCAAAATAGCAAAACTTGACTAACTGAAACAGATCACTAAAAAAATGAAGAATTATGCATTTAAAAAGAAGTTTTGGAATTTAACACAGATTTTTTTTTTTAAATTATTGAACTTATCCTTGTGTTCATTACCAGATTTGGGATAGCTTATGATAAGATAATAAACACTGGAAGAATTTGTAGCTGAACCTAGAATACATTTTACAAATCCACCTTTTACTTCTAGAGTGCTTGCTACTTTGAGGCTTCAGGACAAGTTATGAATTATTATGATGGCCACCACTTGAATGGCAGGGACAGCCAGTGGCCAGAGCAAGTAAACGGTTTCTTCCCTGATCTGTTCAGATGGGTCTATGTGATGGACAGATCCTAAAGTGAGGGGGACAAGACAGGGGAAGAGGAGGAGGATGAAGAGAAAGAATGAACAATTGGAAGGTGTCTGAAAGTGGTAATAATTTCAGTCACATAAACACACTCTAAATCCATATAAAGATCCATGTAAGGTTTCTTCTGCGTTATTCTTATATTTTAAAAGATCTTGGCCAAAGAGATCTTACAGTAATCCCGCATAATTAAAAATCCTACCCTTCTTTCTTTTCCCCTAGATTTCTAAGGCAAGACTGTGTCAATTTGAAATTTATCCAAATTTTTCTTGGCCTCCTCCCCCAGATGTCTTCATTAGTAACGTGATTTCTTAATTAAAGTTTCTTTAGGTTTGATCATTTTAATACTGTGTTCAAGCTTTTGAAATATATAAAAATGAATGAATGCCAATTATGACAAATTTTAACTTTAAAATTATCTATTTATAGTTGCTAAAATCTACTAAGAGTGTACTGTGTGCTAGGTTAACTGCTCTACATGCCTTATTTCATTCAACTCATAACATTCCTGTGAGGCAGGTTCTGCATACTTGTTTTACAAATGAAGAATTTGGGAGGCAGAAAGGTTCAGTAAACTTGCCCAAGGTCACATAGCTGAAAAGTGGCAGAGCTAGAATTCATGGCCAGGTAGTTCACATTTTAATAATAAAACTTCATGGTTTGGTTAATGCATGCTCTACATTTTTGTTAGATGACATCAGAACACTTCAATCTTTTTTTCTGCTATGACCAAATGTCACAAATGCCAAAATTCAAAACTTCTCAATATCTCATAATGGTACCTTAATAAAATAATAAATAGGTAACAAAAGCCATTGAAAACATAATCTAACTGATATTTGGCAGAAAACAACAGGTTTGAAAACTGTGATTGTTTTGCTACCAGAGATGTCTTTTAACCTGAATGAAACTATTAATGCAATAAACATAACATCAAAATTGGAGGCATTTAGTTCTTCATTCTTCCTTCTACATGTCACCTGTTTTGATCCACTCTTTTCATCAACTCTTTTTTATTATTTTTATTGGTGCATTATAATTATATATAATAATGGGATTCATTATGCCATATTCGTACATGCACATAACATAATTTGATCAATCTCTTTCCTGATACCTTCCCTTTCCTTCTCTCCTCCCTCTCCCAGATCTGCTTGCTCTGTTCTACTGACTTCCTTTCTATTATTGGTGAAATGATTTCTCTCATATTAAAGAAAGAGGGACTGGGAGGGAGGGAGGGAGAAAAGGAAGGAGGGAGGGGGAGAGAGAGAGAGGGAAGAGAAAAGAAAATTTATTTAAAAAAGAAAGGGGGACCTCATTAAAATACAAGGGAGACAAGAGAGTAGAGGAAGGGGGTGTAGAGGGAGGGAGAAGGGAGAGCATGAGGAAGTCTTGGGAAACAAATCTACCAAATTATGCTGTGCTCACATATCAACACACTACAATGAATCCCATGTCTACATATAATTATAATGCATCAGTTCTTTTTTATATCAATTTAGGAGACAGTACCCTGAAGGAAGTGAGGCAATACAGGATACAATCTTTAACAAATGCTCATAGTAAAGGAATGTAAGGAAATGTAAGGACTTGGCATAGCAAACCAGGGCTCCTATACTTTGAGGAACTAATGATTAAATAGTTGAGATGGAGTCTTGAAACAGATTTTTTAAAAATAACTAAGAATTAATTTACATGTACACATACTAAAATGAATGCAATATAATAACAAATTGTTTATTTAAAAATATGCTCAATAAAAACTGGTTTTCCATGGACCAAATGCTCCCCTGAAATGTGACCTTGGACAAGATGCTTAGCTATTTAAGCCTCAATTCCCTAAATTCAAGACAGATCTAAATCTTATTTCAATGCATTGTTAGAAGTCTCAGGAGATATTTATAAAGTGCTTAGCAAATTTTGGTATATAGCAAGGGAATGAATTCTATATGGTTTCAATAATACATACCAAAAACATTTGGTGTTGGCAACACAACAATTATATGATGGATTTTATGGAAATACCTATTAGCATCTTGAGAAAGACCTAGAAAAGTTGTAATATTTTGCAATGGGAAGTGAAACATAAAGATGTAAAATTTTCCAGTTGTGGATGAATAAGATCTCAAAGCTTTATAATAATCCCAACACCCTTAGAATAGACAAAAAAAATCTAAGATAAAAGCAGAGAAGTATGAATCCTCTTTTGGAAAAGTTGAAGAAAGATTCCACATAAGTAACTTTGTCATCAAGGTAAAATTCCCACACCCTAAATACTACTCCCTAATTACCTGTGGTTCCTGCTGCTGTTGCCTTCTGTGTTTCTTAGCTGGTAGAGGAGGAGGTGTGTCATTTAAAGGGAAAGGATCAACAGGTGGAGCCATGACTTCGGGCCAAGGGGTTGATGAAGGTTGAATGACAGGATGAGGAGAAAGAGTGGAAGGAAACATAAATCCAGAACAGACAGGTGGTCTTTGCTTTATAGGAGAAAGAAAATGTATACATGTGTCCACATGAAATGAAAGGAAAAAGACAAAGAAATGAAATTGAAAATCTGTTCTATTTTGTTATAAGTTAATCAAGAAGTCACAAATGATGGACAGTCTCTTTCAGTTCAGAGTCTTGTTAAAAATCCCACACTACCAACAAGCATCTCGAATCCTTAGAGGGCATTGTAGTTTACTATCATGGGACACTCCCAAGAATGCTTTAAAAAGGAATAACATTAAAAAATATTCAGATTGCAAAACAAAATAAAAAACAGAATCAAACTGAAAAGGTGATTCAAACCAACAATTGTAGAACGACTTCTTAGTTTCTAAGAATACCAGACTGGGTTAGAGTGCTAAGGCATTGAGCTCATTTTTTTGACATTACTTCTTCTAGTCTCCCCCCGCCCGTACCTCATATTTTATGGTTTCTAGCATTTTTTGTGATGGAGGAAAACTCCCAAATCAGTACATTTTATAAACTTAACATCGCTCTGGCCCTCTGATCAAATAGACACGTATCTGTCACACACACTTTCATTTTGCTTATTCTCAGTTAACCGTGGGTTAATCTTTGACATGAGGAAAAGCAGTGAATGAATGAAATGTCATGCCAACACACCTCCGTACTCTGCGGCTGGCTCACCGGCACAGCTGAGGCGGGCTCAGTGACAACAGCATCAGCATCAGCAGGGAACTGAGTGGAAGGGGACAGATTCGTGGAATTGCCACATGGCTCATTAATTTCACTTACAATGAGATAGCCCTAAAAGGAGGAATTCAGAAGTTAGACACACAGAAAGCAAAAGCTGAGGCATGCGAGAGTATTAATGTTCCCAGTACAATGGAGTTAGCTGAGAGCGGCACAGCCAGCTATCTGGGTACGATCAAATGTTTCATCAAGGAAATAATCAGCAATTAAAATGGAGTCATGGTGTTTTAATCTTGACAAATGGCATTGCAAACATTAAACAGAAATTTTCTGGTGAAATCAGAATGACTGTATTATCAATAACCCAACACCTTCGAATTCAAAATATCCAGAGGCATCAGGATTCGTTCTGTGGATGGAATGAGGTTGTCACTACACATACATTGAAAGAATCACACATCAAAAAAATCTGAGGTACAAAATTGACAATGCAATCACTCACTGCCTGATTCAAGAGCCTTTTCCACAAATCTTCACTTTTAGTATTGAACCTGCTTAGTTCCTGATGAGCCTGCTGTTTCCTGATGAGTTAGAAGGTCAATAAAAGTGGGCTGAGGGATACTGGGTTTACACTAAGAAAAGACTTATAAAACAGTAATTCATTTGTAATGGAATTCAACTTTAGAGCATCTCAATCATATGAGAATAAAAAGGACACTATCTTCTCATTCAAGTGAATACAGATACACATGGGCACACAAACACACACATACAACTCTAAGGTAGAGTTGCAACTGGAGGGTGTTTCAATTCAAGGTAGTTTCTCCAGCTCTCAGTTCTATCCCTAGGACAGAGAATTTCCAATTACTTTCAAACTCAATAATTAAGTTTTGATTCAACTGAAAGAAGATATATGAATTAAACTTTCTGAAAAATCAGAACTCCTGAATTTTTATTTGTGGAAAAGGCACCTGTAAATTATCATGTAAAGGAATTACACAGAGCACTTATGATTTTTGCCATACCAATAAAACAATCTGAAAAAAGAATAAAGCATAAAATAACACTCCTTTAAAAGCAAGTTAAATTTAACACTCAGTGTCTTCTATTAGCCCATCAATCCTTTCAAAAAGTGACTCTAGAAAAGATATGGCATTGTGATGTGATGCTGTTGAAACGAAAAGTCCAGGAAGGAAATCGAAGTTTTTACTGAGAACTTATAGTTACAACAAAGTGGGAAAAAAACTAGAATTGACTTTTTTATAATTCGGCTCTATTAAAGTCTTCCACTTCAGAAAGAGCCAGGTGTAAGATTAAACAGAAGAAAGGAAGTAGTCAACAAAGTTGTCAAATTCTATTTTGCCTGTGATAATGAATCAAAAAGAAAATTAACAACATGGAGCTATTCTTCTGCTCAGTTGATAGAGTGTTTCAAAGCCAAGATACAATTCAATTCAATACAATTCATTGCTTCAAAAATGTATGCTGCTTGTAAAAGCTCTTTTAAGGAGTTAGGTTATAAATATCACTTCTCAAAAGTAGGAAAAAGGAGAGCGGGGGAGAGGGAGAGAGAATATGAGTATGAAAGAGAATGCAAAAAGACAGTAAAAAATCAAAACAGAAGTCAAGTTTGCTTAGTAGATAAAAGAGGAAACAGCTGCTCAATAAGCACTAGTGGCAGAGATGCCCCAAATAACCAAAAACCAAATGTATGTTTGAAACCATGGTCTGCAGAGAAAAAAAAAGACCAATTCATTAGTAGAAAAGGAACAATTTTATTCTTCTATTGATAGATAAAGTATTGAACCTGCTTAATTCATTCGGATGCCACAGACCTTCAAACTCACAATGCCCAGGTCAAACTCCAAATCTTCCCTCTTAAACCTACTCTTTCTCCAGAATTTCCTCTTTCAGGAAAAGGTACTCACCATCGACCTCACTATTCAAGGTGCAACTGGCATCATCTCTCCTGACACTTCCCTTTATTTACTTCATCCATACACATAATCTATCAGCAAGAACTTTCAGCTCTACCTCTAAATATATACTAATCCAACTCATTTTCTCCACCTCTCTGCTGTTGCTCTAGTTCAAGCCTCACCATCTCCAGGCTACACAACTGCAATCATCTTCACGCTAGCGTCCCTGCCTCTCCTCAACTCCTCATGATCCAGTATTCTCTAGTAGTCCAGAGTGATCTTTAACATAATGTCACCTCCCTTCTTAAAGCCACTTGAGGAGTTCCCATCACACCTAAGATAAGCTGCATTTCACCAACATGACTCATAAGGCCTGTTCCTAACCACCTCCTTGACATTATCTTATGCCACTACACTCCATTTACAAACCACCCTTTGTTCATAGAACCTGCCAGTTCCATGTTCTGAATAATGGAGAGAAACTGTAAAAATAATAATCTGATGAAATGGTCATAGAAATATTTTTTTAAAAAATGCTTCTGAAGTACACACTGAGTCACACTTTTATTGTGATGAGCAATTTACTTCATTCACCTACAAAAAAAAAATCTTTTGTCTAGAAACTCCTAACTCTGCTGTCTTTTGATAAGTAACTTATAAACAAAAGCAAATTTTTTGGTTATGCAAAATTTTATGTAGAAGCTAACCTTTTCCTAAGCTTGTAAATGCAAATAAAAGAAAATGATTTCTTTCTTAGTCAGCATTATAATTTTCCAAATCAGAGCTAAAATATTCTACCCATGAGACAGTGTAGCTTTATGGAGGACATTTGGGAAAGAGAAGTGTTGGGGACTAGGGAACAATAGATTAAGGATAAATACAGCCTACTGTAAACAAAGGTTCCCAATTCAGGGGAGGAAGCAGCAGAAAACATGTGGTGGGGGAAAGAGCTGAAGAAAAGAAAGAAAGCAAACAATCATCTTAAATGTTTGGGGACATTTTCTTGTATAAAATTGCAGAGAAAGAGAAGAGAGGGGAAGGAGATTGAAAGGAGGAAAGAGAAGAAGGGAAGACTCATCTTGGTCTAGATCCTAAATATTTCAAACCTCCAAGTTACTCCACAATGTCAATTCCAAGCAAACTACACACACACACACACACACACACACACACACACACACGCTCACACACGCTCACACATGCTCACACTCATGCACAGTGAATTGGACATAAAGATTATCCCTGGAATTCTCAAAGCACAAATGATGAGAGGCAGGAAAACCATCCAAGCACTGGGTGCTCGTTTACATCTCTTAGGTTAGTAATATTTTTGTTCCTCAGCTTGTCACACAACACTGAGGCACAGCTCCTCTTTTCTAAGATGCTATGAGTGGACAGGTAGAATCACGGCTTACCTCTTTGAGCGTACTGGGGTTAACAGGAAACCCTTTTCCCCCAGAAAGGCTGGAGTATTTCTTTTCCAAATTACAAAGATTTTCCTTTTCCTGAAGGAACACAAAATTTGTTAAGCACGGAGTTGACCTTCGGTACCACAGAAGCACAGAGATTGCGCAAGAGATGAACACCAGAATCCTGCACTCTCCTCTCATTTCCACCTCCCCTCCTCACACTCAGTCAGAACTTCCTGTTAGTATATATCTCACCTTCTGCTAGCTACATGATGCTTGAGTTGTTTTCAATTATATTTAGTTCTATTACCTTCCATTCAGGATTAATTTTACAAAGTGTAAGCATATTTAAGAAAAAATAAGTCGGGTGTTCTAGTTGGACCAAAAATGGAGGGAGGAACACCAGAGGGCCTCTCAGTCCTTGTCTTTTGTATATTTTCTAAGATTATTTTTTTATCCTCCTAAGTAAAAGGTAATCGTGTACCTTCTGGTGATGTAGCATCACAATCCACAGATAGGTTTTATTTTGGAAACCTTATGGTGTTAGCTTTTGAAGTTGGGTCTATGGTCCACTTAAATTAATCCAGTATTAAACAAACTTTAGGAAAACTATTTATGGGTCACATTAGTTCTGGTGGTATGATTTCCATACAGTGAAATACACAACTGTTAAGAAAATAATTTGATTGATGGGAGGGAAAAGGAAGGGACGTGAGGGATAGAAAATATGTAGAATGAGACAGACATTATTACTGTATGTATCTATGTGACTACATGACCAATATGATTCTGCAACATGTACACTCAGAAAAATGAGATGTTATATCCACCTATGTGTGATATATCAAAGTGCATAAATGCATTCTACTGTCATATATAACTAACTAAAATTAAAAAATAAAAAAATAATTTGATGGCTTCTAACGAATGGATCATCATAACTAAGATAAAGAGCATTTCTATTACCCAGATGTTTTCTTATGCCCCCTTCCAGTCAACCCTACCCATGAGCAAGCACTCTTCCAATTCCCATAGCTTTACACTAATTCTGCCTGTTCTCCAACGTGACATAAATGAGCCATACAGTATGCATGCTTCTGTACTGCCCTCTTTTTCTCTGTGATGTTGTAGCAGTGGTAGTTCACTCCTGTGTATTGGTGAGGAGTTCTTTATCTGTGCCCCTCTCGATAGCTACTTACTTTGTGTTTCTAGTTTCAGTTTAATATAAAAAAAAAAGTTACTTCAAAAAGTCTTGATACATTTTCTTGGTAAATATATGTTTTTATTTTTAGTGTGTAAATAGCTAGGAGTAGAGTGGCTGGGTCAAAGGGTGGGTGTACAGTAAAAGTCATAAAATAAACTTTCAAGGAGTTCTCTGAAAAGGCTGTATATTTCACACTCATATCAACAATGCCTCAAAGTTCCAGTTGCTTCATATCCTTGCCAACATGTGAAAGCTTCACTTTTTCACCTAAGTCATTTTAGGTGGTACAAGATGGAACCACATTACTGTTTAAATTTATATTTTCTTGATAACTAATGATGAATACTTTTCAATGGGACTTAATGGCCCTAAGTATATATTATTTTGTGAAGTGTCTATTTAAGACTTTTGCCTGATTTTTTTAAAAAGCATTGATATTTATTCTTTATTGAGTAGTAGGAGTTTTAGCATATTCTAGATTCAAGTCCTTTGTCATTTCCTGTAAGAAATCTTTGCTTTCACCAGATCATGAAGATATATTTGTATTCTCATGCTATCTTTTGGAATCCTTATCATGTTAAATTTTTGTTCTCAAGTCTGTCATCCCTCTTGAATTAATTTATATATGTGATATGAGGATACGATGTTTTTTTTTTTTTTCCCCATGGTTACCCAGGTGATCCAGCATAATTTGTTGCAAAGACTTCCTTTTCCTATTGAATTATCTTGGAAACTTTGTGAAAAATCAATAGACTGTATAATATGGTTCTATTTCTGTACTCTAGGGTCAGTTCCATTGATCTAAATGAATATCTGGATGTCTGCACTATATACTATCTTAAATACTGTAGCTTTATAGTAAACCTTGAAATCAGGTAGTAAAAATCCTCCAACTTTGTTCCTCTTGTTCTAAACTGCTTTGGCTATTCTAGGCTCTTTGAATTTTCATATATAGCCAATTTTCACATTTGTGGATGTTACATTCTTTACTGTTGCCACAAACACTAAATTGTTTAAGTACTGAACCACTGTTCCTTCAGGAAATTCAGGGTTAAGTTCCTATGAGCCTCTGGTCACATTTTCATAAACTGATCAATAATAACTTTGTTTTATATGTGTCTCTCTTTGAACACACTTTCTGTAGTATATGCCCTTGATGAATTAACATTTAACAAAATTCAACAGCATTATTATGTAACTCATGCAAACAAAACATTTAACACATGTATTTTCTCCTCAAGACACAGTAGCCTTCTTGCCCCTAGGAATACTAGAAGCACTTAGCACCATGCTTGGAAGCCATTTGAAACAGCAAAATCACCAACTAAAAGGAAAAAAAAAAGGGAAATCACAGCCCTAAAGTGGTCTACCAGAAGGACACTTGTTTACAGTATGAGAGATGGAAGGGGGAGATTGGATGCTGCGTCGCTCAGCCCTGGCTGGGAATATGCATGTTGGGTGATTCAAAACTTCCACTGGTCTGTGTATGTCTATGAATAACTGTAAAAGGGCTACAAGTATAGATTTTGGGATTACAAATACATTTTAACCGAAAGGTAAAATCACAAATGTGGGATCCATGAAATAATGGATTTGTATATGTGATATGAGGATGAAGATTAAGCCCAGCTTGTCAATTGCTACAAAAATACCTGTTGGGATTTGATTTGGATTAAAATGTCTATAGGCTATTTTAGGAAAACAAAAATATTAATACTTATGGTCTATGTATTTTACAATCTAATTCTCTTTTCTGTATTTCTAATTAGAAACTGTCATATCTGTGATTGTGCTTACCCCTTTTTAAAGACCTACCACTTAGAAATTTTTTTCTTTGCTCTTTTTTTTCCTAAAACATCAACAGCTATTTAAATGCATGTGATGCTAATTTGTTATACCTTTGAGTATTTGCACAAAGAGTAAAGTGGTCATAGGGAAGCTGATGGCAACAGAGTTTACCCCCACAGATCAGGGAAGGGGATTGGGATGGAAAAGTCTCCATTTATAGATTTCTAGCTGCTGAAAAGGCAGGAGGATAGTGTCAGGAACCCGTAAGGGCTGCATAGACACCCCAGGCAGATTTATACCAGAATCATGGACCTTAGGGACTTTCTGAACCTAGACAGGAATGCTCATTTCTTGTAGGTAGGAATGTGCATGTCACAGTACAGCCTCTTTCCCTAATCCTCATTCTGGATTTAGTATTCCTCCTGTATCCCATTCTAGGTCCATCTGATATTTCCATGAGCCAAAACATTATTTTCCTAGGTAGTGGCCTGCATGCTTGGCTCAACCATGAGACTGGACCCATCAACTTTTATGTTTGATGAAATTACACCAGGAACCATGTCAGAAAGTCAAGACACAGGTTGCTTTTAACTGAGTTTAGCTGAAGGACTCCCTTTGTCACTTTAGGTGCTGGGACAAACAAGGACATGGTTCTTTTCTTGAAGATGATTTTGCTACTCCTCTAACCAAATCACCTGGGGTGTCTAATAACCCAACTAAGCCAACCTAACTCCAATGTGACATTTTCCAGGAAGACACATGCACAAATAATTGGAGTTCAAAACATTAGTGTAGCTGAGCCATAATATTTGACAGCAGTGAAAAGAATATTTTCCCTTAAATCTACCCTAAACTTGTGTTAGAATATATTTTAACTATTTGATGGAAAATATGATTTTTTTAAGAAAAGAAAATAAGGAAAAGTAAAGATTTTCTGCTGAATTTTAACCATGCAAGGGATCAGCTTACTAGTGTGGAAAATTAAATAAAAATGTACACAAAAATCTTCCTTGATTCTGAAGGCTTTCACTTTTAAAAGGCATTTACTTTGAAAGAGGCAACCTTCCCTGAGTTGGAAGCTCTGTTATATTATAACCAGTGCTGAACAGGAAATACTTACTCTTTGTAGCATCATTATTAAATTATTCTTTTCTTTTACAAAATGGTCTTGTTCTCTCTGAGCCTGCTGAACAATGTGATTGGCTTGTTTTTTCAGTGCAGAAATTTTTTCCTGTAGGAAAGAAGATCATCATAGAAAGGTGCCCATTAGACATTCCAAGGTTTGCCAGTCTGTAGTGGGAAAGGGGGAGAAGGCCTTTACCATTGAAATAATGGTGACTGCATTTGAGTAGGTGATAGGCAGTTGGTATTACCTAGAGACAAGGAGGCATTTACTTTGACCTGCCAAGTTCAATGTCTTTCTTATGGTTAACACAGTTCAAGTGATTTAAATTCTATTTGAAGAGTCCAGAAATCAACAGGAAATCTTGATTTAGACTATCAATTAATTTTAAACGTCATTTGGGAAGATGACTGATTGGGAAAAGATAACAATGGCATTTCTTATTTAAACTGAGTTGGAGAAGTCACTTTTTCATCCTTCCCTCAATTTTATCCTTCAGTGTTATCAGGTTAGAGTTCTGGGGGGTAGTTCTGAATTTTGGAATAGAAACTAAATTCTGGACAGGACAGCTAAGTGTWGGGTGGAGTTAGTAGTAATCTGCATGGTATTTGACTGAAACGTTTCTAACAATAAATAAGCTATCTGCAAGTTTGGGGAACTATTTAGCAATGGAAACAGAAAATTCCAAATTAAACTTTGTTCATGGAATTATTCTGAATTTAGTTACTGTGCTTTAAATAGGAAGTAATTTAAAATAAATATCCGAATTCCTGATTTTCTAGACTTGGTTTTTACATAAAGATAAAGTTGGGTATTATTCATGAATACATCCACAACATTATGTAATGATGACTGTAATGTGTTCAGAGCCCCATTTACCATATATATGGCAGGCTCCATAATATGCTAAATATGATGGGATTAAACACACAAAGATATTCAGATACAAAGACACTCACATACCATAGCTATATGAATGCTATTTACTGTCACATAGGAGGAATATATCTTGATTTTTCACATTAAACATCACCTGGGAAAGGTACCTTTCTAGTGACTATGTTCCGCTGATATTCAGCCACTTCACGCAGGAGCTGTTGGGTCAAGTTCTCCTTTTCCTCATCCAGACGGCTCTCATGCTCAAGCTGCTGGAATTCTAGGTCTTCAAAGTGTTTGCTTTCAACATCCAACAGGTCAGCATCCTTTGGAGAAAAGGGAATGAAAAGAAGACACACCAGAATGGCTGCAACCTTCTTAATATTAAGAAATGATTATGAAAAGTCATAGTCCAAGATAACTTTAGATTATAACATGGACCACGGTTAGAATACGATGATCCTCTCATTTGGAGTTGAACTCCAGAGCAGTGCCTCTGCAGTGGAACTGAAGGGGACACCACAGGAAAGAGCAGCATTTATTTTACCTTTTGTTTTAGATTGCTCCATGCTTTAGAAATTCTTGCTTTAAATCTACTAAGCAGCTTTAAAATGGATAGTGAAGTATAAAAAGTATTCAACAAATAACGTAAACATTATCTGCAGATCAAAGGTAAGCTATAATTTCTCAAGCAAATTCTTCTTTTTTTTCACAATTTTTATATAAGGTTTTAGTATGGAGATTAAATAATTCAAAATTCAGCAAAATTCAGGCAAGAATTCTCTAAGTAGGATTCATATATCCAAAATGCACACAGCACAATGCAGTAGATTGTGAGGAGTTTTATTTTCTTTGCTTAATAAATATTTTCTAACATTCATACCAGTAGAATAGTACATATACACAATTTTAAACTTATACTTTGAGCATGCATGCAATAAATATATTTATAATATAGGTTAAATGTTTTATATACGTAGGGTATTCATGCTCAAATAATTTTTCTGGAGGAATAAGCAATCAAAATCATTTGGACATGGATTATGGGTGATAATGATGTACTATTATAGGTTCAGCAATTGTGAACCATTGAACCATTTGAATGGAGGAGGCTGTGCATGTGTGGGGCAGGGGCTTATGGGAAATCTCTTTATCTTCTGCTCAATTTTGCTATGAACCTACAACTGCTCTAAAAAAATTCTATTAAAAAATTTGGAGATCAAATTTTCAAAGTAGCCTTTTATAAATCCATTAAAATCACATAAAATTTTTTTAAATGGTTAAGAGTAGAACAAAGCTTTTATCAGGCACAAGTTCAACTAAAAAAGTTAAGCACTACTACTTTAAGAATAATCTTTAAGACATTTAAAGAAAATCAACATGAAAATCAGATGGCTTTGAATAGGAATTCTTCAACCTATGAGATACTTGAAGACAGGAATGCTGTTTGTGTATCTGCATTCATGCAAGAGATCACTACACATTATATAAAATATTCTCCAATACACTTTTTAAAATAAATTTTAAAACACCCATTTAATTTTAGAGTCTCTGATAGAATAATAAAAGTGTTATGTGTAGATGAATTTTTTAAAAATAAAAATTTTAAATAATCTATGGGCAAAAGGAAGAGGTAGCTGGGCTATGTGGCTCTTAGCTCTACATAGCTAAAATAATCAGGGCATTTCATTATATTTGAACCCTTAAAGGGAACTGGAAAATAATTGTATGGTAAATTAGTTCTACTTTTTAAGTAATGACAAATTAGGGTTTTTAATCAAATGGAATATATTTCTATCTTCTGCAATGAATTATATTCTAGTGATGATTCATAGAAGGGCTATTAGCTACCATGCAATTACAGTCAACACTATAGCAACAAGGCTATTATGTTAACACAGACTGTGTGTTCTCCAATTTTAAGAGCAGGAAAAACACAATTTGAAGAATATATTCAGCATTTCTTACACTTCTTTACATTTTATTTGGCCAAAAAGAATGTGGTCTTGATTTGAAGTTTTTGGTTGACATTTGCTGTTTATCAGACATTTCAAGTTTATAACTTCTAAATGAATGAATTAATGAAGGAAACTAAAAAAATAACAGACAACTCAAGCGTTACATGTTGTAACAAAATATCCAACAGTCTTGAAATAGTGGACCAGCTTATATATTTTCTTATATAGGCATACTCACTCAAGTTTTCACGTCTTTCATTTAAGCTTAGTTTGTGGTTAAAGAGTACTGAGATAAAAATTTAAACACTTTTTTGGTTTATAAATAATCTTCATCAGAAGTGGGCATATGGCTCACAATATACACACGTACTCTATGCTAGGCCTTCACCTATTCCACAACTGGTTAGCATGAGGGCCACAGACTCACTAATTTATCTGTAGTAAATATCTGTAGTAAATATTTAAACCATTGCATAAAAATTATAGCACACTAGGCTGGAAAGCTGGAAATTAGGCCAAGCTCAGCACTTGGACTCTGTGATGTAATCATCTAACCAAGCCATCTAAACCATTCAAACATGTGTCTATAAACTTTGACTTTGAAAGAAAAACTATTTGGGAGGGGAATAAAAACTTTTAAAAGATTTTAGATAAGAATAAGAATTCAAAGAATGGAATTTGGGGCCAGGACTAGTTTAACTGAGACAGAATAATATATACAGGAAGCTCAAAGTACTTGAACAGTTGAATGAAAATTTTAAGTATAAACTTTAGTCACTGAAAGGACATTATAAATCTCTATTGACTGGCAAGCTCTGGGGGCCAGCATAAAAGGAACTAAAACAACCGCAATAAAGAAAATTCTGTGCAATTCCTTTTTTAAAAAAATTTTTTCCAGCAACTTTTTTTTTGGATAATTTATGTAACAGAAGTGTATATACAAGATCTTTGTGTTCTCTTTGCCTAATGGAGGAAAAAGAAGAGAACAGATGTGGTATGGCCAGGAGTAATTGTAGAAACAACCCCATGGTGGCTTAAGGCCAACTCTGGAAGCAAACATAAATGGGGCTCATTTTGTTAACCTTTCTCCATCTTCTGCTTAAAAGTCAAATATTTTACATGCTTTTAAAATATGAAAAAGACAATAGTTCAACCTCCTCTTTCTTATACCGAGATACTAAGCCTATAGAGGTTGAATGGCTTTTCTAAGACTGAAGGATAAATTGATTTTAAAGCCAGTGATAGGGTTAAGTGTTTTTCCTAATTGTGGAGATCACTGGGTAGAGTTTAAAAACAAAATCAGGAGACCAAAATCAACAATTCAGTCGAGAAATATCAAAAGTAGAGGAACATTGCCCCTTCCATGTATCTGTCACCTCCTTTTTACAGCAGGCCCTATCCTGGCAAATGACAGAGTCACTTTTAACATCAGCTTTCTTTTCCACACTGCCAGTATCCCGGGATTGGTGAGCCCATACTGACTGCATGCCAGTCATAGGCTATGAAGTCAACAACAACTGAAAACCATATTTTGACTCTAAAGCAATGATTCAGAGGTACAAAACCCAGTTCTAAGTCCAAAATGTTGCATGCACAAGATCATTTCATCATGACAGCTTAAGTATTCAAGAGAACATGAAGTTTAAGAAAATGATTTTCCTTCTGTTCATGTACTTTTATGCTATGAGACTTGCCACCTAATGAAGTTAATCATAATCAACTAAGTTTCGTGACATCTGGTTTAAATGCCTTTGGAAAAACTTGGTAATGAATGGTATTCTGAAGATTCAAAGTCTAAAGAGAAATAAGTGTGATACCACAGAAAGTTCTTAATATAAATGGGCTTCTTATGAAATAAGTAAGGTTTTACTGTTAAGCCAAGGGTCTGGTGAAGAGTTATGCTGGTCATCATCCCTGGAAAACAGAATTAGTAGACTTCAATATCAGTGGTAGAAGCTACCACAGTCAGTCATCTCTGCTAAGGAAAGGGGTCTTTATGATAATAATTTTACACTATGCTTGGAGAGGAAAGGGAAAGAGTCTTTGCTTTCAGTTAATGGAACAGACTGTCTGCTTTATTTCCTTTCCTCTTTTGCAGTCAAAATTCTTAGAACACATGAAAATTTATAAGTTCTTCTTCAAAATCTAGATCATGCATACAGTAATTATGCATGATAATTAATAACCTGGGTCCAGGTTATTAATAGAACCTATCAGCTTCTATTGGAAGTAACATTTATAAAGAATACAAATAATAAAAGGGCAACTAGAGGAAAGAAAGGACAAAATATAAAAGTACAATGCTGACCTTAAATGAAAAATTACAATGACTGTGTAAAATCATTAGCCATAAGGGAGTTGAAAAACAGTAAACAAATGTAAGATTCAGGTTTCCCACCTCTTCTGTTAAGTGGGATAAACAAAACAATTACCAACTGAAATACTTTTATAAATACTAGTCTTCTCCAATCGTTTTTATCACAAAATTTCCAGAGAATTGTGACACCAAGAGACAACAAGTTTTATCTTCTTACAGCAAGTTCATCTTTACTGACTAAAATGAGTAAAGAAGAAGACACAATTGTCACAACTTTCTTTGATTCAATACTGAAAGAAATAAATGTTAAAATTATAATGCTGATGTTTAACTTATCTACATTGGATATTTTACTAAGATGCTCTCAACCTCTGCAATACAATAGTTTTAATTGTGATTTTTCATTATCCAGTTATATTCTCAGATGTATCAGTGTTTTTGTTCTAGAGGTCATCTTGAACTTTTTCAAAAGTGTGTCAACTGACATTTTAACTCGGCTTATTGACAAGAAGGGACAAACAAAACAAATGAACTAGCCTCATTTTTTGACTCATGAAATCATAAATTGTTACTCACTTAGGACAAATTACTATTACATGACTCCTTTAGAGGAGTGAGACTTTTAATAACAGCTGCTCCAGGATCAAAGTTGGTTTGGGCTGCTGTTCAGAAGAAACAACTCAGTTGTCAAGCAAGTGTAAAATACTAAGTGGCTGTGTCCGTGTTTATAAAATTATCCACCTAGGAAGCTTCCTTTGCAGAATAGAAACAGCATGGTTGTGTTAAACACTGCAAACATTCAGGATAGGAGAATTAGTAGAAATTCTGGAAAACAGAATTAGTAGACCTCAATATCAGTGGTAGAAGCTACCACAGTCAGTCATCTCTGACTGTGATAGTTCAGGTTATTCAACCTGAGAAAATTTAAATAGTAATAAGTATTTTGAAAAATAGGATGCTTGTATAAGAAGATGCTGAGGACATTCCTAACGCCCTGTGTCTTGATTCTTGGTGTTTGACTGTTGTAATCATGCTAATGAGTTCCATGTTACTAATCAGCAGGAAGAAATAGAAAAGCAAAGCAATGGAAAGAGGTGAAGGGCAGATCATAATAGAATAATTGGGGAGAGAACATAAAATCCACTAAGGAAAAAAAAATCAAGGAAAAATAGTACAATACATCAGAAGGGGCAAGGGAGATGCTAGCTGATTTAAACGCTGCAATTTTGATGTCGGTCCTAAATCAGGAATGAGTTTTCTTTAGTTACAAAAAACAAATCCAGAAATGCTTTTGCATTATAAATTAGAAGAAAGATTCTAATAGGGAATATTTTAACTGATTAGTATGGAATAATATTTACTGTTAGCATGCATATTCCTATTTTAAAAGTATATAATGACTAGAGCTAAGAATTTATCCTATGTAAAGTAGGAAGCCATAGGTAAGTGGAACTTAATTAGGAGGGAAAAAAAGAAAAAAGAATAACAATGGGTGCATTCCTGTTTGCTACTGACCCTCTTCAGTTGTTGTTGTAACTGTTCCCTCATGGACTCAGGACAATTGTCCAGCTGGGTCTTCTGCTCGGAGTAAAGCTCCTGAAGCCTCTCTAGTTTTTCCCTTTCAGCATCAAGCTTTACCTTCTCCTGAAGTTCAGAAATCAGAAAATAGAATAGAAATTACCTTCATACCCCAAGCAGGGTGTTAGCAAACATTTCCAAGAATAACACAAACATACACAAACTCTAGATATTCTATGAATGTAGAAACACAGCTTGTTAGTGATTTCAATAAAGGGATATAAGTGGAAGTTAAGACAAGGGGACCCAGATTGTGCATTCTCAAAACAGCCCATTTAATTGGGTATTGACAATGACCCACCCTTCCTTCCTTCCCTCCTTCCTGCCACCCTGTTACAAAAGCAGGGAAGCAATAGTTACGATTGAATGTTGGTCCATGGCCAAAAAAGTACAAAAGAAATGCCAACCAAATTCAGAAGCTAGCCTTGCAAAAATCACTTGTCAGGGAATAGACAAGAAAAAGTGGGCATTTATTTACATCAAAGTACTATCCCATGGTTCTATTTGCTMAAGGTATTTATTTGCTAAGCAAGTCCTAGAAATATGTTCACAAGTCAAAGTCTCACTATGTGCACTAGTTGATACTGGGGTCATCTGATATAGTTCTAGCTATTTGAAAAGCTTTAGAAGTTTAAGCAATGAAAAAATCTTATCTCAGGGAGAGCATCCAATTCAGGGTTTGAGAGAGCTGGCACAAATGTAACACTGACAAAACAGCAAGGGGAAGGGTTAGGAGGCAGTTTGGACACAGCACAACTGTGACATTGTGGAAACATAGACTTCCTTAAAATGAATGGCATAAAAACAAAACATGAAAAACACAAACTGTGAAATAAAGGAGAGGCACCAGGAGAGAAAAGAGCAGTACAAGAAGGTAACACTAAATCCCTGCCAAGCCACACATGCCAAAGTGACCCTAGACACACTCCAGGATATATCAGGTCCATACTGTAGCACCATGCTTATCCTGACTTGGTGCCCACCCCTTAAATGGAAAAATAAAACTTCAATTCTTTTAGTGCCAGTCTTGTCAACTTGTGATGCTCTGAACACTTTAAAGCAAATTTTAGGCATGAGTCTCTCCATGTGCAACTCTTTCATCCCAAAGTAAAGCATTTTATGCAGCACTATGATGATTTGATGACCACCTTACTTTCCTTATGTTCCCTCTATAGAAACTTGTAGAAAGAAAACTAGCTTCTGAACATATCACAGAAGAAATTTTTAAAGGATAAAGTTCTAAAATAGCCCTATCAAATTATCCCTACTCTGATTTCTTAATCCAAATAGTCATGATTTCCTGTTAGCACACATTTGGATTCTTGACAATGAATCTAAAACTGTATGACACTCAATACCTATAATAGCTCACTTAAGCCTCCATTTTTTACTTAATTTTAAAATTTCCAGATTATTTGAAGAATATTTATTTAAGTTGCAGTTTTTCTCCCCAAATAATTAAGTCCAGAAATAATAAACTTGAGAATTCTGCTTCATATATAAATAAAAAATGATTCTACAACAATTTAAACCCTCTACAAAGAAAGTTTGTCCAATTTTTAATGGGAAGTTTGTTCAGTGTGCACACCTATTGAGCAAGAGCTGGAGAACTCAAGGGTTCAGTTAATGGGAAAAAAAGAATTCCAAAAAGTTAATCCATAGGAAAACTGATTATAGTAGTACCTCAATGTAATCATTTAGCCTTTGGTTTCAGAATTGTTTTCCTCTAAATAAAACCAACAATACAGAATACCTGTTGACTTCTGGCTAAGAAAATGTATTATTTCCTCTATATATGGACCAAAGATTGCCCGATTTACACAACAAGAGAATTTTATCCCCAAAGAGTCCGATTTCTAAATATGGTATCATCAGATTTTGCCACAATTTTAATTCTAAACAGGAAATTTAAAAATAAATAATCATCACAATTAAATACCACAGGTGGAAAGCCCTAAAGTTCTGTTTACAGAAAACATTGATGCAGTATTAGAACTATGGAAAGCCACTGCCCTAAAACATGATCTCAAACCTTGAAGAAATTACCAAAGTAGCACTCTGAGGCTTTCATTTTTTTTTATCATTAATAATGAACACAAATAAACAACTAATAAAAAAATACCTCATGTTTACACAGTGCCTTCCTTCTGAGGCGCTCAAAGCGTTTCGCAATCCCATACAAGGGGGCAGTTAAGAGAATTATGCAAGCAAGCACCATGAGGCCTTCTGCAGCTTCTCTGTGGTTTTTCACTAATGCTGTGACCAGCACCTGGTCTCAGAGCAAAAGCTCAGTGGGGCCAAAGTGAGGGCAAAGGAAGTGAAAGGGGGAAGGATGCGAGAAGGACTAGTGGCAGGTGGGCTGCGTCATAAATCACAGAGGACCACAGAGGTGAGATTATCCCTGTGAGAGCCAGAAGTGGAACAACTTCCAGCCAGAAGGAAATTGATATTCCTCTCTTCTATTTATCATGCAGGAAGTTTTCAAAGGAAAATTAGCTGGAGGCAAACATTTAATTAGAGGAGAAACATCACTGTCTCTAGTGAAGGTAAAATACATGGATGAACTAGATAGCATTGGATGGTTTAGGGATTCTTGATTTTTACACATAAAATATGAAGACTGAGTGTTATTCTCTTTCTCCAGATTACAACTGGTAAACTCACCTATCCCAACTACTATAGACACAACTATAGATGAAATTTTCCAAACATCAAAGTAGGAGAGAACATCATTTTTTTTTTCAAGATTCAAAAGTGTACGTTCAGGAAATAGGTGGATTTAAATGCATTTTTAGTAGACTTAACAAATTTCACTTTGTTGAAGAAATATAAGTATAAGGAATTGGAGTACTGTGGAACAATACAGATGTACAAGGGGACATTAACAAAACAGGAATAGAAAGGGACTTCCCTAAAGACAAGCTGCTTCTTTTTTTGCCTTGCCTTGTCTTCCTGATGTACTGGCAAGTCCAGCTGGATCACAAACTTATTGTGAGATTCTGCCTATTTTGTATATTTAAGACTAATGTTCCTAAAGTTCTATAGCTATACATGGCCAATGATAAATTTCTCAGAGATAAATTAAAGTATAAACCAGTATGTAAAATCGTTATATACAGTTGTCCCTAAGTGTCTTTAAGGAATTTTAATTTCTGGGATTCCCAAGGATACCAAAATCTGTGAAGGCTCAAGTTCTTTATATAAAGTGTCATAAAATTTGCATATAACCTATATATAAATCTTTCTACATACCTTAAACCATCTCTAAATTGCTTATAACACCTAATACAATGTAAATGCTATATAAATTGCTATTATCCTGCCTTGTTTAGGGAATAATGAAAAGTGTATACATGCTCAGTATGGATTTTTTTAAAATATTTTTGATCCTTGATTAGTTGAACTGGTGAATGCAGAATCCAAGCAAACAGATGGCTCACTGTGCTTGCTTTCATAGTGATATGTCTGTTCATTTATTCAACAAAGATTAAAAGAAGAACAGAGGCAGAGAAAGGAGGAAATTTTAGCATTCTCCTTATATTGCACAGTTCTATTAGATTTGTGATTCCCAACCCTGACTGCACACTAGAATAACCTGAGGTTTTACATATACAATGTTCCAGGCACCTGTATTGATTGGGTCACAAATATGGAGCATAAAGACTGTCACAAGCATTCTAAAAATCTTTCCAAGTTTAACACCAGGTAGCCAGGTTGAGAACTACTGACAGCCACCAGAGATTATGTGAGTGACACAGCAATTATGACTTGATTTTTTTAATGTTGACACAAGACATTAATTCAAGATCCATCAAAAATTGTTCTTAGTGCCTAGTGCCATTTCTTCATAGGATAAAAGCCCTTTATTGCAAGTAGTATTCCAACTGTAAATTGTTTTACATTCAAATTAAATGCAGCTAGTAAATCAAGAGATGATAGATTTCAAGTTCAGATGCAGAGTGCCTGCCTGATGTAATAATTAGGAGTGGTTATAAGTTTAACCTAAATAATTTGAACTTATATCCAAGAATTGCCAATAATCTCGAATGAATAAATGTCCAAGGCTCATCATAGGATTATTTATTTTGCCAGATCTTTGGGTTAGAAGACAATAAATAAGTTTTCTCTCTTCTCAGTAGTATTCTTGAAGGAAGAAACTAAAATTTAACTTTCTGGCTCTCTGTGAATTCCAATGATACACACACACAAAATTCTTTAATACCAACATAAGAATCGTTTTATCATATCTAAGCATGAAATACTAAGCAGATGGTTCAAGGTTATCCTGAAAAGAGGCTTAACTTATTAGCTTGAAGGACTGCCAGGTAAAAGAGAGGACACCTTTCACTGAATTTGAATTTCAGATGAATAAGAAATGATCTTTTAATGTAAATATGTTCCAAATATTGTCTGGGACATACATATAAAAAAATCTTATTTTCTGTTTATCTAAAATTGAAACATAACTGTGCTTCCTGTTCATGAAACTCTGACTTAGGTTGGGAACAGATGCAGCAATGTGTTAAAATTTGTAGTCCCTAAGTCATTATTTTTAGGGAAAGTCAATCCAAAGTCCTCTCCATATCCTAATAATCCCTTTTCTTTAAGTTATTAAAACTTATGGAAGGCAGACATCCCCATAGCGTCAAAGATGAGTCATCTATTTTAGATCTGTAAGTACTAATTTGATTTTTTTCCCGTTTTTGCAGTGCTGGGGATCAAACTCAGAGCCTCACACATACTAGGCAGATGCTGTACCACTGAGATACAATCATAGCCCTAAAACTTTTTTCCCACAATTTTTAAAATTGGTAAATTATAATTGTACATAATGGTGGGATTTATTGTTACTCATTCATAATGTACACAATATAGCAATATAATTTGGCCAATATCTTTCACCAGTATTTTCCCTTTTTCTCTCATGCTGGCTTTAATTCTTTAGGATTAATACTGAGGAGTGGGGGCTGGGGATGTGGCTCAAGCGGTAGCGCGCTCGTCTCGCATGCGTGCGACCCGGGTTCGATCCCCAGCACCACATACCAACAAAGATGTTGTGTCCGCCG